GTGCTCTTTTTGCTTAGGCGTTCGAGAGCATCGCGAACTTCAGACGCGACTCCAACCCACCCATCGCAGCCCCCCATCCCCACCCTCATCCAACAACGACCACGCGGCAGCACGTTGAAAAAGACACGTTGCGATCGCGCAATCGCTCCGAGTACTCGCGCCCGCGACTTCCCCTTTGCATTGCCGCATAGCGCCTTCCAGCTCCGTCGCATCGCACAACACTCCCCGAGCCATGGCCGACGACGCGACAGCAAGCGCAACTGCTCAGGACCCAAGTCTCACTGGTGAAGGTGCCACAGACACCAATGCGCTCGATCAAGGTAGGTCGCATCCTGATTCCAATCATCACCATACCCACCGCCAGTCGCGTCAACACCATGGACGACCTATTCCATGACGACGAGCTCCTAGGTGCACTGGATCTTGCCGACTTGGATCGCATGTTCCAATCACCGGCCTTGAAACCCCTCCAAGTCGACAGTCCGCTAAGTTCCGTAGATACCAGCATGCTCGAAGACGCACCCGGCAAGGAGTCTTCCAACGATCCTGCTACTGCCACGCCCACAGCTGCATCAGATAACCCTCTCGATGCACCCGATGGCCCAAGACCGGAAGCGGAAGACGCCGATGGCCAGGATGACGAAGAGATGGGCGGCGTCGACGATGCGAAAAAGGAGAACGGCGAGGGTGGTGAAGCTGCTGACCCAGAGGCGCAAGCAAAAGCCGATTTGCAGTCAGCAGCGCGTTCACACTTTGTTACCCAGACATATGCGACCATCATCCCGAGCTACGCAACCTGGTTCGACATGCGCTACATCGACTACCGCGAGCGCAAAGCCCTACCCGAATTCTTCAACGGTCGCAACCGCAGCAAGACACCAGCCGTCTACCGTGATTACCGCGATTTCATGATCAACACATACCGCCTGAACCCATCCGAGTACCTCACAGTTACCGCATGCCGAAGAAATCTTGCAGGAGACGTCTGCGCTATCATGCGCGTGCATGCTTTCCTCGAGCAGTGGGGATTGATCAACTACCAAGTAAATCTTGCCGCTATATGATTACATTGAGTCGTGATTAACATATCAACCAGGTCGACCCTCAAGAACGCCCATCGAACATTGGTCCTCCATTCACCGGCCATTTCCGTGTCACAGTCGATACCCCCCGCGGACTGCAACCTTTCCAACCAGGACCAGGCTCAAAAGTCACGGACGGAAAGCAGCTCACAGCCACTGACCGTGCTGCGAGCCAGCAACCGACGGCAAAGAGCGAGACCAAGTCTTTAGCTGGACGAAACATCTACGAGGCCAATGGCAAAGAAGCATCCGTGGAGCCAAAAGCTGCTAATGGCGAAGGTGCCGCCAACGGTTCGGTAGACGTCAAGGATCTCGAAGCCGCTGCAAAGGAGCCAACCAAGGTCATCAACTGCTTCAGTTGCGGCGTCGAATGTACCCGTGTACATTTCCATGAAACGAAACCTTCCGAGCAGACTGGCCAGATCAAGGCTGCTGGTGGCTTGAAGCGCGACCTTTGCCCTAGGTGTTTTGTAGAGGGCAATTTCCCGCAAGGCACATCCTCAGCCGACTTCACAAAGATCTCCAACCCGGAGAACTCAGCAGCGGCCGAGACGGAAGAGAAGTGGACGGAAGAGGAGACTCTTTTGCTACTCGAGGGCTTGGAGGAGTTTGACGATGACTGGAACCGTGTCGCCGACCACGTCCAGACGAAGACACGCGAGCAGTGCGTGATGAAGTTCCTGCAGCTCGAGATTGAGGACAAGTACATCGAGGCGGATCTACCAGAGTCACAATCTGCAGCTCCTTCAACCAAATTCTTGCGCGATCTGGAGTACCTCAGCGAGGGCCGTGTACCCATCCACCACGCCGACAACCCAATTCTCAGCGTCGTCAGCTTCCTAGCTGGTCTTGCTCCCGCAAACGTCACAGAGGCAGCAGTAGCGTCGGGGCGCAGTGTCGGCGAGATGAAGCGCATCCTTCAAGAGAAGATCAACAAAGCCCCAACCGCACCATCAGAGAAGGGCAAAGAGAAGGAAGGCGAGCAGTCTACACCCGCAGCGACCGCCTCAGACATGAAGCCAGAAGGCGGCGACGCCATGGACGTCGACCCCTCTGCCGAGTCCACCGCCGTAGCCACACGGGAATCCGACTCGTCCTCCAACCCCAACCCTCTAGCCACCCTTCCCTTCGCCCTTTCCGCCGCCCGTTCCTCAGCACTAGCCTCGCACGAAGAACGCCACATCACCCGTCTCGTCTCCGGCGCCGTAAACCTCCAACTCCAAAAGCTACAGCTCAAGCTCGCTCACTTCAACGACTTTGAGAAGCTCCTCTCCGCCGAACGCCGCGATCTGCAACGCCGCCGCCAGCAGCTCTTTATGGACCGTCTCAACTTCCAGAGGAGAGTCCGCGCACTCGAAGACGCTACCAAGCGCATCAGCAGCTCCATGGGCGGCCAGGGTCTTCCCGGCAGCATGAGCAACGAAGATGCCGTCCAGGCGCTAACGGAAGCCATGCGCATGTTCGGCGTAGGCAAGGGCGAGGACAGCATGGGCGTCAAGCGCGACAGCGTCGACGCTGGTGTTGCTCAGCCCCTTGCCGAGGGCGCAGAGGGCTACAGCAAAGTAGAGATTTAGAGACATCTTAGCGCGCGCGACGTGTTCAAGATGTGGTCCTCTGAGTCAAGGTCGGGGTGTGCGTATGAGACGTTTCCTTACTATCGCATGGAAACAAAGGCAGAACAGACAAGTGCCATTCGTAGTGAGGATTTGGGACAGTGTGACTCACGTGTCGATTGTAAGCCTCACAACGGACACGGTGAAGACCACAAACGTCAGGATAGCATGATGCGCTGAATCGAATTGGGGATATGTGGTTGTTGGTCTCAAAGGGGTGTTTTCTGGCGTACAATGAGTTGGTGCCTACGCTATTCGGAACTAAGATTATGCTACAAATGGTCCGATGTGTTCAAGTCTTTTCTTTTCTGGCAGGCGGGAGTGCCTGCTGTACAAGTAGTTTCTGTTATCGAGATCGATTGCAATTCCCTTTCTCAGCACATTCAAGAGTTTTTGATGTGAATGTTGCAAGAATGTCTTGTTGAAACTATATACTGTACATGATTTTCGTCAGTAGCAGAGAAGCGTTGAACACCACTGTCTAAATGCCCCCTTGGTTCTTCAGACATGCTATACACGTAACTATATAATACAATGCCATCATCTCTTCATGCATGCCACCCTCATCACACATGCCTCACAACCCCTCTACTTCCTCTCCAGCCTCCCTGTACTCCTATCACTTCGCATCATGACTAGCCTTCGGCACCATACTCTCGCTCTCACTAACAGGTTCCTGGCTCTTAACCTGCGCCCTCGCTTTATTCGCTCGCTCGGTATCACTGTCGCCCTTTGGCTTCTGCTTGCTCTTCTCCTTCTCCTTCTCGCTATCCAGGCTGCTCATGTCGCCCCTTGCGTCGTTTACGGGGTTGTGTTTGGCGTTTGGCTTGTACTCTTCGGGGACAAGGCTGTTTTCTGGTGTGTGGGGTTTCGAGTTGCGTTCACCGGAGAATTTCCCCTTCGCTGATGCGGCGTGGTCGTTGGTGGAGGGTTGTAATGAGGAGTCTTGTTGCGCGTTGGAGGGGTTGGATGGGGTTTCGGCGGAGGCGGCCATGTCGTCTTCGTCGTCGGCGTCAGCGTCTAGCTCTGAGCCGTAGACTTCGGGGTATTCGCGGAAACAGTTTTGCATGTCCCTGAGTTTTGTCAGCTACTTGTTCAAACATAAACTGCGCGGGCCTGTTACGGCTCTGCTGTCTAATGTGGACGTACTTGAACTTGTCGATGCAGTCCATGCCCTTTGGCTCTTCGGTGGAGTATACGAAGCAGCTGAACGCCGCCTTGAACTGCTCACCACAAGGGCCATGAGCCATGCCGCCCAGACATGGGCAATCCCAATTGATCTCGCCTGTCTCCGGGTTGAATGCGCCCTGTTGATCTGCCTCTTCCTCGAGTCCTTCTATGCCACCCTGGCCATCTTCTGAAGGCTTAGCATTCTGTTGTGCGCGCTCAGCCTCTTTTTGCTTCTGGGCCTCGATTTGTGCCTGTACTGCTTGTCGTCGCTTGCGCTCTTCGGAGATGGATTCGATGGTGGGGAGGTGCTCGGATTCAACTTCGGTTTCTGGGAGGGGTTGGACAAGTTCTGAGGCAGGATCAGCTACTCTGGTTCAATTCGTCCGTCCATTGGCCTCTGAACATACGTCTTGGCTCCTCTGCGAAAACATCCGTGGTGTTGTAATAGTATATTATTGTTCCGGCAACACCCAGCCTAGCAACCAAGCTCTTGAAACTTCTCGACTTTTGTGATGGTGGTGCGGTGCTCAAGTACCGCCTGGCCGGCGCGACAGACCGTAGTGGCGCGGGTCGCAGCGCTGGACGCGCAATTAACCGTGGGGCTGCACGGAACATGATGCTAAAAGATGTGAAACGGGAAAGAGATACAAAGAGAGAGACGTGGCGGATGTCAACGGTACACGGAAGTGTCGTCACTACGTAAAAGTTATGGGACCTGCATTTCTAAGCGGAAGGAGCAGGGATCTGCGTGGCTGGAGATCTCGGATCACGTGGTGGAACTTCCGAGAATTCTGGGCACCATCCTAAGTACATCCGACATGGTAATCAGAGTGCAGTCGCAAATCGTTCGAAATTTCATGCGTAATCTGAATGGCTTTGGTATGGTCAAGATGATGTTTGAACGGGTATATTGAACGTGACCTCATATATACAGAAGTGGACTCATGAAGGCATCTCGCCTCAAGACCGAAACCGAGTAGAGAACCCCTTGCTTGCTGTATGGTACCGCGGAAAAGAAGAAGACAACATAGCCAAATCGGTACAGTCCAGATGATCAAGATTTCAGCATGATTCCGTCGTACGAGGTGCTATTGAAGTAGAGTGCAAATTTGAACAAAGCGATCAGGCAGCACGTCTATTTCGGGGGGTTGCGCTTGAAGAAGTACCTGTTGCGAATGTTAGCACACGTGCCATCAGAGCACTTCTATTTGGACAACGTACTGGCTGACGTAGTAGTCTCCAACGCCGAACAGTCCAATGACAGCAGCCCAGGCCGCGACGACCTTGCCGGTCAGCTCGCCGCGGGCATACTGCCTGTATGCGCCAAATCCAACGATGCCACCAACAACGGCAAGGCCAACTGCGTTGCTCAGCACGACCGGGTTGTCGGCGTTCTTCTTCATCTTGTCCTTGGCTGCCTCCTTCTTTGCTGCAGCGCGGTCCTTGATGTGCTTGGCCTCTTCCTTGATTTCCTCTTCACGCTCCATGCGCTCGGCTTGCGTGTCGGTCTTGACGGATTGCGACTCGTAGTCCGAGGGGACCGAGGAGATGTGCGGGCTGTCTACGTCGACAAGGGAGTGTACGCTGTCGTCGGAAGCGTGCTCGATCTCAGGTTGGGCGGGGGCGCGACTGCAATGCTACGTCAGAACAACTCTAGCAGTTTCATGCCTCAGAACACAGGTCTTGTATTTTGACTAAGATGCAACACAGGGTGCCGTCATGCATCGTCAAAGCTGACGTTGGAGGGGTAAACTCCTCCCAAATGAACGGGGTGACTTACGCCTATCTTCAAGTTAGCATTGGCACACATTGCAAGCACTCTTCAACAACTCACCTCCTCGGGGCTCTGCTTGGGGCCCTTGGCGGCCATCTCTGCGTAAGACATGATGTATGAGGGGTATTGGTGGTTGGATAGAGAAGTGGAAAAAGTGCTGTCGCAAGGGTTGATGTGAGGTTTGCAGATCAGTCGATGGGTACCGGGAAGCTGCGAAGTCAATGGGCGATCGTGTGAGACCGGAAACAGGCTCCCTCACATGCCTGTTCGCTTAGTGGGCGGTGACCGACGTCATCCTGAGCACGTTAGCGGCGACGTAGCGAAAGCGCCAAGCATAGGAACAGCACATCCATGTGGAGCATGTGAATGATCTGGACCGGATGAATACAAGAACAATAGTCTCAAAAATTCATTATATATCGCTGACTTCGCTTAGATGACCAAGCAAAAAGCCCAAGGGTATAAACACAATCTCCATCGTAGCCATCGATACACGCCTCACGGACCTCGATACAGATAGGATCCAAAACTGTGTGCAGATTCGTATGATACACAGACAAGGACAAACAAGCTCTTGGAGATCGGGCCGGTAACGCCCGCTGTAGATACACATGTTGAAAAATGGAAACGATATAACAGAAGTTTTGGGCGCCTTCGATTGCCCTTGCGAGTTTTTGTGGGCGTTGTGCTCACTTTATTCATCACCGAAAACTGTTTTGTAGTTTTCCAGAAGCGCTTGCACGGCGACACGCTGCTGTTGCACGTCGGTGAGTTCGCGCTGGATGTCCATAGGCCGCATGATGGTTGGCGCAAAAACGACAGCGACATTGAGTGGTGTCATCTATTCACATGTTAGTCATGGTACACGTCAAACATCTATTGTGTGTACTTACCAAATTGTCACTGGCGTGCTGTATGACCCGCGACAGATGGAACACGAGGAATTGCAAGGTATCACGATGAGCCTTGGGAATTTCGTTCACAGCGGCAGACAAAGCTCTTGACTGAGCAGTCGGCTCTTCAAGTTCTGTACAATCATTAGCACTTGATCTGTTGTCGGATAGTATGAACTTACGGCCAGCTTCAAGGAACTGATCATAGACATCGTATGTGATCAGCGGCACAGGGAGCCTGCGGAAGTAGTTCTTCAGCGCAGAAGTGACGGAGTGAATGTCGAGATCTGGGTCCGAGATGTCGTGCTCGGTGTCTGTCTCGAAGCCACTGCGTACTTGGTTCACCTGCGAGGTACCGCCGCTTTTACGGTAGATACCTTCCACGTCCATGCCGCGAAGCTCGACCTCTTCGATACATCTGCTGACGATGCGTGGAATCATCTGCCGTTCAAACTCGCATCGTGCTGTCAGGTCAGACCCGAATAGCACGGTACTGGCGTCGGCGGCAGCCAGATTAGTGGTGCTGTTGTTGATGTTCTGCATGGGCCTAAAGCCTTGGGGCGGGCCGCCTGGTCTAACGTTGCCAGGCTTTCCACCGAACCAGCCTCGCGGGGTTCCTTGGTCCATGGTATCCCGGCTTTTGATGGAACTCGACATGGACATGGCTGCAATGTCAGGCCCAGAGTGCACAGAGCCGTAAGGAGTGCCAATGACCTTGACGTTGTAGTCCTCCTGCTTCTGCTCTGAACCGAATGCTCCCTTGAAGCCCTTGGTGACGTTCTTTGTAATGGCTTGTCCGCCCTTCTTCCAGGTAGAGAATTTGGTGGGTTTTCCGGTCTTCCTAATATTAACGACTTGCGGCTGCGCGACTGTCGCCTCGCCATCGTCGAGATTGGCATAGGAGTGATCATGCGGTATTACTGGTGCATCCACGGATACTTCTGATTTGCCGCCCTTGTGCTGCGCGTTGTATATACCAAGGCCATTGGCAGCAACATCAAGGTTCTGTCCACTCTTCTTGTTGTTCTTAAGGTTGGTCTGGATGTTGTCTACCAGGTCCCTGTTCATGGCGGAAAGTCTAGTGTTAGCGGCCGTGAGCGATTCGTACTCTTGGAAACCCTTGTCTTTCATCTGAATGAGGTTCGAGATCTCCTCCGTCAACTCCGATCTCTTCGTGATCAGATCCTCTATTTGATTTCCCAGATTGTCTTTGAGCTTCTGCAACGAGTTTGCAAAGTCTTTGAGAATGTCTGACTTGAGCTGACCGATCTCAACGTTGCCCTGGCCGCTCTTAGCGTGCTTGAGGTGTTCAGTCATGATTTCAAGCTCGCGGATCACCATCTCACGTTGCGTATCCAAGACAGCCATGGTGTTTCGCTTCTCTCGCAGAACCGTGTTTGCCTGTCTGATGTCGGCGGCACTATGCATCGATTCTTGTAGGCCGTTCTTCTCGGCCTCCAGCTCAGCGATCCGCTGCTGGGCGCGGCGCAGCTCGTTGCGCAGGTTGACGCCTTCCTCTTTGGTGTCGGGCGAGGCAACTGTCGGGCTGCTAATGTCGATGGAGCCGTTCGTAGGCCATTTTTTGTGACCTCGTGATGTGACTGAACCACGATCACTGAAACTGCGCCCATGCTTGGACACAGCGTTCGAAACTCTCCTGAACACCCCGTTGTCTTTTTCATCTCTTCCATCCTGGCTTCCAAGCAAACGCGCGAAATCCTCATCCATGGAGAAATCGCCCTGAGCGCTGTATCGAGGAAGGCCACCAGCTCCATATGCATCTCGGGATGCTTCGCTTTGGGCGCTGCTAATGGAATCGCTCGTCTTGTGTTGCTGAATGGCAGGTGGTTGCGGGGGTGCGCGTGGAGATGTGAACGTGTCGGTCGAGGGCGGGGCTGGCCGTCCACCTGAACGTGCGGGGAGAACTGGAGGGTCCGATGGAGTCTTAGAGGCTGGCGAATCCGAAGGACTGAGTATGCCAAGTCCGGCGTTGAGGTTCGCGCTGGCTGTGTTGGTAGATGATGTTCGCTCTGGATGGCTTAGAGTCGGTGTGGTGGGTGATGGGGCCCTCTCGTTTCGTGAGATTGGGGCTGAAGGCTTGAGGGTCGAAGCCTTGAGCGAATCACCACGCGCAGGTCTTTCTAGCGGAAGATTGGAGCCGAACGACGATTCTGAGGTCTGCGGTGAATCTTGCGAGCCAAGTGGTGGTGAGCTAGTGAAGGTTGGCTCGATGAGGGGACGACTCAGCCGCGCAGACATGATGTCGTTCTTGGAAGAAGACGGCTGCTGCTGTTGCTGTTGCTGCGGTTGCGGTGATGGCGTCTCCTCGGAGTCCTTGCGTTTGGCCTCCGCCTTCTTGTTCTTGGGTACATCCTGTAGTTTGAAGGGTTCTGGCCCTGAAGGGGCGGGAGAAGCGTGCTGACTCCTTGACCGAGGCTCAGCGGCAGGAGATTCGTTGGACATGTCCTTCTTCTTCCTAAGTGTCTCGACCAGTGTATCCGAAGGCTGCCTTCCTTTCTCTTGGAAGGCAATGTGCGGGCTCTGTGTTTGCGTCTGGCGTCTCTCTTTGGAGGCTTCTCGAGAGCCATTCTCCTTCAGCTTCTCGCGATGATCGCCAGTGGGCCTACTAAAGTAATCGCGCCCGCTCTTGCTGTCACCGCTTCCGGTCGGTTTGGCTCCCAGCGTTCGGTCATTGAATCTGCTGATGGGTCGGCCGAGCGGGGATGGACCGGGCGCAGGGTTGGGATCGAGAGCGAAGGGGAGGAGGATGCCGTCGTCGCCGTTGTCTACCAGCTCTGAACGCGCGCTGTCCTTGTTGTATGTTGTTGCTGGAAGTGTGGTATTGTCTGTAGTTGTGGCTAGGTTAGCTATGTGTGAGCATGATGTAGGCCATGTGGATTTCATACCCCTTCGTGCAGTATCCCCAATTGGTGAGGCATCGCGCCTGAAGTTTGACGACGAATCACCCCGGCGCGGCTGAGGAGGTCTGGGAGATACGTCGGTCGTGGTGGGCTCCGAGAAGATGTCGGATGGCGTATCCAGGTCTGGGGTGAAGGTGGACTGGTTCTGCTCGTGGGGAGGCAGAGCAGGCAGTGATTTGTCCACCTTGGGCGCCACTGAGGGCGGCTTTTTGGATTTCTTGCGCCGTCGAGCCATGAGCGACTCATGACACGACATACAGAAGATACCCTGCGATGTGCGGGCATAGCGCAGGTTCTCGATCTTGCGCTTGCAATTCCTGCACCGAAAGCAGTTGGCACAGAAGGCCTGGTCACCAGTCAAGATGGCCAGATCCTCGATCTTGTTGCCGCAGTGGTTGCAGCTATATGTACAGTTGTTGCATATCAGGGAGCCGTCGCCGAGCAGCAGCAGGTTCGCATCCGAGTCGAGGAGGGTGCCGCACGTGTTGCAGCGGAAGCAGTCGATATGCCATCGGTTTCCGGCTAGGCAATGTTAGCATGTACATCCTCGGCAGGTGGCTGGCATGGGCGGTGGGAGGAAGGCGCGATGGTAGTTGTGGTGTTGGCTCAGCGGGGAAGCATACCGAGCTCGAAGGCCTTGCCTTCCTCGAGGATCTAGACTGCTATGAGCGATTGCAGAGGGGGAGTCGTGGTAGCAGCGGCTCATACCTCTCCGCATCCCTTGCACGGATACACGACCTCGTCGTCGATCGGAGACTCTGGATAGCCGGTCGGGCTCTCCATGGCGGGCTAGAAATATGCGTGTCGGTGAAGCAGCAGGAGCAATGCTGGCGGGCAGCGCGAGGGCGGGCGTGCAGTCGGCGCCGGAGCCGTGTCGTGCTCGGAGGGACAATTGGCAGCTGGCAGGGCGTGGGCGTGTTCAGTGGTTCGTCGTCTGGGCGATCCCCAAAGTTGCTAGCACCAGACTACAGTGCAGACTACAGTGCAAGGCGAGAGGAGGCGTGGGTGCCAACGGCGCAAAAGCAAAGGCGACGACCAGCAGCGGCGTCGGTGCACTGGCGAACGGCTTCTGTGCGCGACGAGGGCCCAGGGCAGTTAGGTTGGTCGACGAGACAGGCGCACCTCGCAGCGGCGTCGTGGTGGTGTGGAGGTGCAGAGCCAATGGGCGGGCTAGTGCCTGGTCAGGGTCTGGAAAGATACGCGGCAGACAAATCCATGCGGCGGCCACGACCAGGGGACCGCGGGCGATGTAAAGAGTGAAAGCCTAATCCAGCCTTGATAGACTTTTGATAGACTTGCTAAGCGCCTCTACCACAGCTGCCAGCATGTGCCGCACATGGGAACACAACCGTGGAATTCCAAACACTCGCACGGCGCAGGCCCAAGGTGGTCAGCTTTCGAGACCGGGCTGCGACTCCAGCTCCACCGCGCTATTACGACGTCTGCAGAGGCCCTGCCAAGCACACGCCATCGCAGATCGTGCGCTCCAGGGCCCCTTCCTCTGACAACGGCCCGTTCACTGCACAACTGACCACCCTAGGGCTATCATTTGTAAACGCCGGCACTCGTGAATCGCCTCTTGATTCAGGTAGTCTCTTTGTACCCATCCTCAGCCCAGCTCACACTGCGCGTGGCGCATATAGCTCTGAACCTCCTGTCTTTCTGACCACCTCCAAGACGCCATGTGGTCATCACCCGCATCACGAGCTCAATTAATAATATCGCTTCTCCCGCACTAATTGGAACTCATCCCTCAATCCTCCCAATCCTCAAAATAGCTGACGCAATCTGAGCCCTTTCCCCTGAAGCGCCTCCATCAGCACATGCCCGTCATCTGCGCTGCACACATGTCTAGCATTAGATCATGCAGGAACGCGGCCGCTTTCTTGACCTACCAATACATTAACAATTCGCAGCCAGATAAATATTCGCACAGCTTACAATATCATCCGCTTGTTTCAGAGTGCAATGCCGGGTCAGCGCACCATCCTATCGGAAAGTGCGGTCGCCCTCGAGAGATTGAAGGACGCGTTCATTCCCCGCAAAACACCCGTGTCTCTATTTCGAACACGCTCGACGTCCAGACGCTAGTCAGGCCCTATCATACCGCCTGTGCTCACCAGAACCAATGTTGCACAGGAACCACGCCATCAACATCTCGTTCGTTGGACTCCTGAGCATTTCCACTCAGCCGATCCTCGCGTGCATCCATCGCCGAGGTACCCAACTACTTTGCATCATCCTATACACGTCGGAAAATACTTACCAATCGGCATTTGCTCCCCTCGGAATCCTTCTGCCACGATCCTGAAACAAACGGGAATAACGAGGCGCACACAGACACGTTTCATCGATCCGAACCACCCTGCTGATCTGCCCGCCTCGAGAGTCAGCGCCCAACCGCGATTCGCGCTCGACCATTAACAACGCCTCTTCTACCCGTACGAGGCATACTTCCAGACAACACCAGGTACCACGTATCACGCATCCGAAGACAGTTGCCGCACATCTGTCTCATCAACGCCTGTCGCAACACCAAGGCTGTTTGACATGTGTCGTCGTGCCACCTAAACAGCTTTACCTCGGATGCTTGTACCGTCCGCTGCGGTCCGCCACTACGTTTGATCACCACCTGAAAATTCAGGCAACCAGGCTCTGCCTTGCCTCTGTGTTGACTCGAGTTCGGCTGCCGCTGCCCGTCTCAACCTTGTCTTCATCGCTGAGCGGGTCTCGATCAACCTTATTGAGTCAGTATCATAGTACCCTACCTTTGGTACACGATTAAGTTTACCAGCCCGTTCGGCAGCATGGGTTACCATATGACTGGTTCCAGAGAACTTATCGATTTGTTAACTTAGATATCGTGATATACTAAGGTTCGTCAAAAGTCCGAAGCAAGTCTGAGACTGAAATAGATATACTTCCAGATCCCCTGCAGTATCAACTCCTACTGCACGATCATCATACCTTTGCGTGTACGCTACTGTATTGTCACGTTATCAAAGAGTGCCACTAGGAACAGCTGTGAAAGTATCACGTTGTGGTGGCGCCTTCCAAACAGAACGTCGTAATGCCAAGCATCTCGTCTTGAGCAACACCAACGCTAACAGGCAGGAACGACAACCTTGGAAGTCTCGCAACATTAGCCGGTCCCTTCCTCGAATCACGCTCTCTCGCGGTGATATTTCAATTACACGAGCATGTGTGGTCCTCAATTTTCCCGTCTGGTGGGTCGATCCTTCTTGCTAATGATGTATTACTGCGCAGAGCTGCGTCCCAATTAGGCCTACTAATGCAGGACCCTGTCACCACATACCGTTCTCACGAATTAAATACTCCGCGGTGCTGAACACATGGGTCCGGACGCGGTACAATACAGTGGGTCCTTCTGTATTCGAGCACTTCATATGCAGACAGCAAGAGCTACCCCGCCCCAACGGATGACTGAGGATATTCGTGGACGAGGTGGCGGGGCACGTTGGAATATTTAAACCTCTCCTCTAACCTGCCCCTCCTCTTTTCTTTTTCCTACAACAGTCTAACTGTCTTTGCAAAGCTCAAGTTATTCAGTATCCGTACTCATCCACTGCTTCAAGGTACTCAAGAGCAATGGCTAACCCCCATGCAGATACTCGTCACGACCAAGTATGGCAGCCACGATGCAGAACATGTTCCGCACGTGGGCGTTGTCCTCAAGTCACATAGGTACTTTTACAGCTAAGTATACTGCATGAACCGGTGTTCGTTTCCAGCAGTGTCTGTCTCCCATACTGTCGTAGTCCTTCTACTTCAGTGTGGCAGTCGGGCCTTGCTGGATTCGTTCTGAGATTATACGGTTTCGAACTTGATCAGGATAATACCTGCGAAAAGGATCATGCTCTACTCTGTCTCTCCATGTGTGGAACAGACTTAACAATTCGCAGATTTCGACCCTTGAACCCCTTTCAACATGTCTCCCCCCGCTGCCATTTTCGAAACTCCGGTTGCTAGCAACGACATGGGCATCAAGAAGGACCTCGCTGTCAAGGCTGCCTTCAACGGCCAGGCCAAGACTGTCGCTGAGCTCGAGAACAAGTGGGAGAAGTTCACCTTCGCCCCTATCCGCGAGTCGCAGGTGTCTCGTGCTATGACCCGCCGCTACTTCAACGATCTTGACACTTACGCTGAGTCGGACATTGTCATCGTCGGTGCGGGTTCATGCGGTCTGTCTGCTGCTTACACGCTCGCCACCAAGCGTCCCGACCTCAAGATTGCCATCGTCGAAGCTGGCGTTGCTCCCGGTGGTGGTGCCTGGCTCGGTGGCCAGCTCTTCAGCGCCATGGTCATGCGCAAGCCTGCGGAGCTCTTCTTGAACGAGATCGGCGTGCCCTACGAGGACGAAGGTGACTTTGTCGTCGTCAAGCATGCCGCGCTCTTCACATCCACCTTGCTGTCCAAGGTCCTGCAGTTCCCCAACGTCAAGCTGTTCAACGCGACGGCTGTCGAGGACCTCATCACCCGTCCGGCTCCTACCTCCAGCGACCCCAACGCCGTCCGCATCGCTGGTGTTGTCACCAACTGGACTCTCGTCTCCATGCATCACGATGGTACGCTGCAGTCTTGCTTTCTTTTTCTCGGCTCTTACTAATTGTTTACAGACCAGTCTTGCATGGACCCGAACACCATCAATGCACCTCTTGTCATCTCAACCACCGGCCACGACGGCCCATTCGGTGCTTTCTCCGTCAAGCGCCTCGTGTCTATGCAGCAGATTGAGAAGCTCGGTGGCATGCGCGGCCTCGACATGCGCACCGCCGAAGATGCCATTGTCAAGCGCACCCGCGAGGTTGTGCCTGGTCTGATCGTCGGCGGCATGGAACTCAGCGAGGTTGATGGCGCCAACCGCATGGGACCTACCTTTGGCGCTATGGCTCTCAGCGGTGTCAAGGCAGCTGAGGAGGCCGTCGGTGTCTGGGATGAAAGGAACGCTCAGAACAAGGACGCTTAGATGGCATGATCGGCTTCGTCGGACAAAGAGAAGGCTGTCATTACCTAAATCCGTAAAGATCATATGTACAATGAAATGATTCGCTCGCTCATTATCTGTTGTTGTTTTGACTCGGCTCCTCTCGAAACGTTAATGCTCTTGTTCTAGTGCAGCCCGCGCATCCGGCGCAACGGCCTATCACTTTGTCATGGCTGGCCCCGCTTGAGTGATTTACGGTGGTGTTGCCGCGCTTTATGACGTGGCAAAGAAGGAAGTTTCGGGCAGGCCATCTGATGTACAATGTGACGTGAAGATCAAAGCAGCCTTGCAATTGGAATAAGCGACACGTCCTGACCAGCTGTTCGCATTCATCTGGAAGCTTCGAGGGTGGATCGCCGTGCGCCCCTGGGGTAGCGGCAGTGCGGCATGTAAAGCGCACGGTTGCTCGGACACTGGTCTAGCGTGAACGGGGATGGCTGCCCGCCGTAAACAACTCTCATAACATATACAAACCACCCCGCCTCTACCGCTGCCGGATTATTTTGCGACAAAGGGCCAATTTGCGCCCACGATGGAGAAAGAGACGTCGGACCTGCTCAAGGCACTCCAGAAGCCGTCGACCGATGTCCAGTCGCGCCTGGCCTTGTTCAGCACGCTCAAGTCGAGCATCAAGCACAATCGGGTCCCTGAAAGTTGTCAGGCTCCTATCTTCGAGTGCATCCGCATCGCCTGCACCGCCGCCACCTCGGCCGCGCTCGTGTCCACGGGCTTCTCGACGCTGAGCCACTTCATCAAGCGCCTGCAACTGCAGAAGGAGACGTCGATTCTTACGTCACAGTCGCCCATACTATGTTCCATCCTCGCCGACAAGTTGGGCGATGGGCGCGAAAGCCACCGCAGCGCCGCCTCGCAGATTCTGGCCGACCTGCACTACCTGTGCTCCATGGAAATTGACGCGCTGATACACGATGCCATCAAGAGCACAAACCCGCGCGCCAAAGAATCCGCCATGTTGTGGGTGGTCAAGGTTGGTCCCCCGTAGCGCATCGGGCAGGCGCGAAAATGTTCTAACGCTTGGGTGACGACAGATGAACAAGAGCGAAGGGCTCCCTTTCAAGAGCTACTCCAACCAGCTCGTGGCAAACTGCGAAGACGCGGATCCCGCCGTGCGCGACACGGCGAAGAAGGCGGTTGTGGAGCTCTTTGGGTACGTCCATTGGCGGATATGCTGCACCATGGTAGCAACTGACATCACGACAGACACGCTCCGGAACACGCCAAAGCCAATCTTAAGAAGCAGCTCGTGGCCCTGAATGTCCGGAAAGCCATTGCCACCTACATCACCTCCCACCTCGACGACGATGCCATGGCTAAGAGTGTGGACGTCACGCCTGCCCAGCCTCCCGCCCCCGTCGCCCGACCCATCGTATCCAAACGCGCCCAGACGCTGCAACCCGACGTCGGCTTGGCAGAGAGCTTTGCGGATGAGCAGCCTCCCCCGGTCGAGGTTGTCGTCATGGACCCCATACACATCTACACACAGCGCGAGCTCGACGACGTGTTCCGCGACATGGCGCCCTGCTACGAAGGCAAGGAGAGCGAGGGCAATTGGCTGGCCAGAGATAAGAACTGCACAAAGTTGAGACGTATACTCAAGGGCAACGCGCCTCATGAGTTCCACGCAACTTTCATCGCCGGCATCAAATCGCTCCTAGACGGTATCCTCAAGGTCGCCAACTCGCTTCGAACAACCATGTCCACCAACGGCTGCCTGCTGGTTCAGGAGCTTGCAAAGACACTCGGCTCTGCGATCGACCCCTGGGTTGAGATTCTCCTGCAATCCTTCATCAAGATGTGTGGTGCTACGAAGAACATTGCAGCGCAGAACGGAGCCGTTACAGTAGACACCATTTTCCAGAGCGTGTCTTACAACAGTCGCGTATTGCAGCACGTAGCCATGGCCTCACAAGACAAGAACGTGCAACCCCGAACCCACTCTGCGACCTGGGCAAAGACCCTGATCAAGAGGCACACCTCGCATATCGAACACTCAGGAGGGCTGGAGACATTGGACACCTTGATCCGGAGGGGTGTCACTGACGCCAACCCCAAGGTGCGAGAGGCATACCGAAGCGCCTACTGGACGTACGCTTTAGTATGGCCTCAGAGGGCTGAGAAGTAAGTTTGACTACATGGAGGCATCATCAGTCACTAACACAGCTTTCAGGATGTTCGATACGCTCGACAAGCGAGAAAAGACCGCACTCGAAAAGGACCCCAACAACCCGAACGGCTCAGCCCCCTCGTCCACGACAAGCGCAGCTTCGTTTTCGAAATCAATAGGCCCGGGTGCCTCGCGGAGTGCCCTGAAGGAGAAGATTGCTGAACAGAGGAGAGCAAAGCTAGCGGCCGCGAAAGGTGTCCCCGAACGCCCCAACTCTGCTGCTGCTAGTTATACACCAGTGCCAACATCGCAATCGGCCAAGTCTTTGGGCGCGAGAACAACGTCGAACCTCTCCACGGCTTCTTCGGGTCCGGCGCGACCACCCTCTGCCATGTCCGGAGAGTCAACGAAGTCAGCGCTGAAGAACTCCACAGGTACCGGCTCCTTGATGTCGGGCACAGTCCGTCGTCCGGTCCGCCGACCAGAGTTGAACCGACCAGCGACCGCGGATCCATATGCTGTCCGACGACCAGGGAAGAGCACGCCCAACATGACCCCAGAGAAGACACCTGCTCCAACGGCGACCAAGAAGCCTGCTGTACCCAAGAGCAGCTCAAGGCCGCGTGCGCAAACACAGAACAGCCCGCAAGTTAGTCCGGCGCGGCCCAAATCAAGAATTGGCCAACCCATTGCCCATGGCAAGTCTCCTAGTGCGAGCTCTCGTCGCGAGAGCCCGGCTGTGAGCCCAGCAAAAGAGGAGGACCTATCGATGGTGAAGCCTTGGGTTCGATCACAAAGCCAGCATGACGCAGGTACTATACCATTTCGACAAAGGAATGGTCTGGGTGGAAGTGTAGCTGGAGACGATGAGGCTGTGGATGTGGGAGATGAAGACAACTTTACCATGGTCATTCCTAACCTTGCGAAACCAACGACACAATCCACACATAACACGCCACCGAAGCCGAGAAAGTCCATCGGTCGACTGCCAATACCCAGCCCTCGTGCTGCAGCGCTAAGAAGTCCAAAGTCTATGGGGCACCTAGACAGCGCTAGCCTACGGTCTTCGACACGCAGCCCACGCCTGCGGTCACCAGACCGACCAAGCACTCGCGGTACCGACGCCGGAGATGAAGTGCAAGTGTTTGAGGATCCATTTGTTGGCGAGGAGCACACACGTGTCGAGAATGGATCAGAAAAGCCGGTCCTGGAGGAGCTTCCCATCAACGAGAAGAGCAACGAGCGCCGCCAAAGTACTGGAAGCATGACAAGCGATGTCATGATGGGCAACGATAACGAAGAGCGCCCTCGCGGCCACCACAAGACGAACAGCACAGGAAGTGTCCTGCACACGCAAAGCTACGAGACAAACGATGCTGAAGTGCTGAAGAACCGACAGCTACTCACAAGCGGCATCAAAAAGATCGAAGGACGCACAGTCGAAGCTCACATGTTCCGCCGCATGCAGGACATGGTCAAGTCGAACCAAGAAATCTGGGGGCCGAATGACGAGAACTTTGGCAGGCTATTACTGGCATGTCTGGATTTCCTTGAGGCACCCGTCCACGAGTTGAAGGCGCCTCAGATGAAAGCTGTCAATCTAAAAGTACAGGCTCTAGCAACAATTCGCGCGTTGCTATCACTCTACCGCAAGGAGACTTCGAAGTACTACTCCCGCGTCCTCCGCACTATCCTGCAAACGAAGGCACAGTACGAAAGCACATCTCACATCGCTATCGATCTCGAAGCGACCGCAGATGAGATTGTCAAGTATGGACAGACTCTGGATTGTCTCAACACCGTCCTTGCGATGATCGAGGACACACCCGCATCGACGCCAACATCCTCGCCAAACTCCAAGTCCTCAGTCTCTTCCCAACCGGGTCAAGCGTCGACTCGGTCCACAACCATGGCCTTGACCACACTCGCATCCCTCGTGCAGATGAGCGGCGCCAAGAACGTCACACTGTCCGCCGAACAGACTGCGCGTCTAGGCAGACTAGCCGTACGCTGCATGGACGACCAAGACGCCGACGTGCGCAAAGCAGACATCGAGTTCTGCATCGCCCTCCACGAACGCATCAATGGCTCCGACGGCGCGAAAGAAGACGGCGGCTTCTGGAAAGCTGTTGCCGGCGCGAGGGAACAGCACTTGAACCTCTTGACATACTACCTTGCCAAGAAGGCTAAGGCCTAGGTGGCTGTCCTTCCTTTGCGATTGAAGCGTTTGGCTTGATTGAGCCTGCACAGCTAGCTCTCTGTGTATTAGCACTTGGAATGTCTCGTTTGTTGGAACTGGTGGTCAGGAACTTTGGCATCTCCTATGTCACTCATTTGGTTTGGCGTTTGACTTTTGTGTCTTGAAGGCGTTTTGAGAAAAGCGGGATCGCTCCGGTAGTCAGTCACTTTTCATCAACGTCTCTTGAATTCGTTACTTTCTAGCCTTGTTCTTTGTGGGGCAGTAGGGTCTAGGGCTGGGAATTGGTAGTTGAGATATGTAATTCTATGCAACTTTTTCTTCTTCTTAAATGCACATCTTCTTTTCGTATCGTTGAGTGCAAGTCTATTGAACTGCGAATTCCGAAGCCAGTGACGTGTAAGATGATTTATTAAAGGCAAGCGCGAAAGCTAGAAGAATCCGATGCATCGTGTGGGCAGCACCTGCCACCCCGATTTCCTCAGCTAGCGCGTGACGCGTACCCAGATGCCCACTCGGAACGCGTCGAGCTTGGGGACGCACCGCTTCCCCATCACCAGCACCGCACACCCAAATTCCAGCCTCTACGAGCGCGGATATATACAGCCCTGGAGCACATCCTATCACGATAGCTTCGCTCGTCAATGCGGCAATGATCGCGACGCCCGGAGAACACAGCCGAGACGCAACCGAAGCACAAGTTCCCAAGAGACCGACGTCCGCTCAGGCATCAAGATGATGAGGGAGTATCGATTGTCAAGCTTTTACGGCATGATGAGGATGGCTCATCTTCGTGGTTTCGTGCTCAATATAGGCGCCAGTAACGCTAACGTCATTCTCTGGACGATACGTGCCTAGGCCTTCTAACGGTGCGTACTTCTCGCACAAGTACAACATGTCGTTGTAAGCTCTGGATCTCGTCAGTTCAGATTTATGTACTGCCAGAAGATCACTCACGTAGCCCTCGAGATACTACCAGGATGGCCCGCGGAGTCGTTCAGATATATATGGATACTGTAAAGTCGATTGCGGTCGTCCCACTCGTCTACAGGCTCAGAGGGTTCGATATGGCGCTGATACAATCGCATGTATATCGGAGAGTTGAAATGGCAGGCCCAAGACGCTCTCCATGTGCCGAACTCCATCTCATTATGGGCATACACACATCCAGGGTCGAACAGGATTGTATCGCCGGTCTCCATGTCGATGCCAACATTCTGCTCCCACAAATCGCCATGGATCAACACAGGCTCAATGTTCCGACCATCTGACTGGAGAGCACCTAGGAGTCTTGGGATAACGACGTCGATGACTTGCTTGCAGGCAGCGTCAAACTCTGGCCAAGGACCGTTGGTCTCGTTGTCGTATCTGATCACATCGTTGAGCAAATTGGTAAAGCATGCCGCCCAGGTCTTCTCCCATTTCGTCGTGCGTTCAAACTTGCCGCACACTGTTGGTACGTGGAATCCGAACATGCCATTTGGAGACTTCCCTTCGATGTGCATTTTGGCAACTCTCTCCACAAGGCTTGCCGGTTCTGGGGCTGGTACAAGGTCCATGTCGTGGTGGTTCCCAAGGAAGAAATACACCTGGGTGCTACCATCTAGATACTTTCCCCATCCTGTCGCTCGAGGAACCAGACCTGGAACTATCTTGTTGATAGCGCATGCAGATTCGTACTCGCCTTCGACAAGAGCCTTTGAGCCCTGGCCGGTGGCGCACTGTGTGTTGCAACGATATGTCAGCAAGTACGGATACCTTCTACTCTACCACGACATACTTTGAGGAAGTAGGTCTTTAAGCTTTGGTCCGGAAGCATCACGTCAATCTTTGCTGTCTTCGTCCAGGCAGAAACACCGCAAGGCTCTGCAGATATGATCCTGGTACCGACAGGCATAGCTAATCCGCAGTGCTTAGTATATGAAACCTGACGTCGGGGTTGTAGGAACGCCTACCTCTGGTCACATCCCGGTGAATGCGGAACGTCCCTCCTATTTCTGTTTCCCATTCTAATGCATTCATTGTGGTGGATCTGAAAGACTAGCACACGACTACGCGTAGGGGACCCCGCACTTATGATATGTCGGCTCTCGAGTAGCAGAGGGAAGAGCTGATGGAAGCCTTGTATGCGGGTACGTTATCTTCTGCTTACGTTGGATGCTGAGATGGTGGCACGGGAGCAGCTTCGGTGTTCACCGCACGCAAGATGATTCGCGGGTCGGCAGCCACGAGCGGGACGTCGCTCCCGCCCTTGATCATTATCGATAAATACGCCTCCCTTCCGGTTCCAAGAGACGCCACATTACAGGCATCCATCAGATGGACACCAGGACTGCGCCCTAATTAACAGGGCTGCGCGACTATGATTAGCTGGGTTGAGACTCCCAGACGAACGAACACTACCCCGCATGCAGCCCCCAACTTGAACGGCGACTAAGATTCATGCCACACACGACCGGTCAGGATTATGAGGCTTAGATATCGCCACGCAATCAAAGTATCTCTAACCATGAATGTCGCGTGTCCAGAGACCGTCTCTCAGCACGTTCGCGAGAACCTTTGCCCAGGATGGTAAGTGTTATTGAGCAAATACACAGTTAGCAGTCTTAATACTGTATTAGGCTTCGAATACCTTGAATTTTTTGAGAGATGCGGGCAGAAGAATTCGGCGAAGAGAAACAGGCGTTGTCGACCCGTTGCTCTTTCCCGTTCAGGAAGACGATGTTCGCTACTCGAACACTCCTTCGCCATCCCAAATATCCACGTCTCCAACTCACATGGACCCTGGAGCTCTAGGACTAAACGTGGTATATACGCCAGACAACGGACATAAAGCCGACATAGTCTTCATACATGGGCTAGGTGGAAGTAGCCGTATGACTTGGTCGAAACACAAAAGCCCTGGACTCTTCTGGCCCTTGACTTTCCTACCACTCGAGCCAGATATCTGCCTTGCGAGGATTCTGAGCTTTGGCTACGATGCGGATTTCACCAATGGCAGCAATGCCACCAACGTGATACTGGACTTCGCCAAGACTCTTCTGTACAATCTTAAGTATTACACGGATGACAAGAGCGAAAATCTGAACATGGGTCAAGTGAGTCAATTTTATTGTGGCCTTTTACTTTTGCTAAAACCGCATTTCAGGTGCCTTTGCTGTTCGTAGTCCATAGCATGGGCGGTCTAATCGTCAAAGAGGTAACATCACTCATCAGTTGCACGTACCCTGCTCACACTTTTCAGGCCTACATGCAGGGGCAAAACGATCCAGAGTACGAGAACATAGTGAAAGCCATTTCAGCAATCATCTTCCTCTCGACCCCACATCGTGGCACTAATTTGGCCAACGTGCTCAACCGAATATTACAGTCGACTCCCGTGACAAATTCCAAGCCTTTCATTTCTGAGCTGACGCGGAATTCGTCCACGTTACAGAAGCTGAATGAACAGTTTCGTCACATTGCACCAAAGCTGAAGATCGTTTCCTTCTACGAGACACAGCCGACTTCGATCGGGCCAAAGAGTGCGCGAGCGCGAGTGGTGAGTGACTTAGTTGCACATGTACAACTTTAGCTTCATTGCTAACATGCGAAGATGGTGCTAGAAAGGGATTCGTCGCTGCTCGGATATCCTGGAGAGACATCCAACCCTCTGAACGCAGACCACCACGGTGTCTGCAAGTATGAGAGCCCTCACGACCCGAACTATATCACAGTGAGGAATGTTCTCAAATCACTCGTGAGCAAGTCAATATCGAAGAGTCAATCTGGAAGCCAGAGCGCACCGAGAAGGAGACGATCAAGGGATCTCAAAGCCATATTAGCTATCGCCGAGTTCCCCAACACTGACTACATCTTCTTCCGGGACCAATGGGTTCAGGGTACTAACCAATGGATTCATGAAGAACCGCGCTTCGTGGATTGGCTGAATCCTCACGTATCCTCTCATCAGACACTCTGGCTGAAGGGGGCCGCGGCACGAGGAAAGTCGGTTCTAAGTTCGTTTATCATCAACAGCCTGATCGAGCGCGATTTCTGCTGTCAGTACTTTTTCGTGCGGTTCGCAGACAGAAGAAAGCGCACTCTGAGCTTTCTCCTGCGTTCCATCGCTTATCAGATTGCGCAACAATTACCTGAATTTCTGCAAAAGGTAGCGGGGGTTGAAAGCGAAGCTGTCGACTTTGAGGCTGCCAACCCGAGGACGATCTGGGATCGGATATTCAGATCCATATTGTTCAAGCTCAGTCCTAGTAAAACACTTTACTGGGTCATCGATGGCCTTGACGAAGCTGATAATCCCAAAGCCTTGATAGACCTGCTCTCTGACATTGCTGGTTCTGCGACACCTATCCGAGTCCTTTTGGTCAGTCGCGACACTACAGAGATAGCTGCTGGTCTGGAGCATACACCAAACACAATCTTCCAGGAGACGATCACCATCGAGGGCCATGTGGATGACTTACGTTGCTATGTTGACCGGGAACTCATCTTGCCTGGTAGCAAGGGCTTCAGGGATGATATTATTCAGCGTATCTTGCATGAAGCGCAGGACAACTTTCTCGTAAGTTTGATATCCAGTACCATGCTATGGGGTTGCTAACCTCTCAGTGGGTACGACTCGCTGTAGAAAAGATCAACTCGTGTCATACGCTCTCCGCCGTCGAGCAAGCTTTTCACGAGTTTCCCCGTGGAATGGAAGCAATCTACGACCGCATGGCTGTTACCATCGCCGAGCACCAATCATCTGCCGACACCGCTCTAGCGTCAGTCGTTCTTCAATGTGTCACATGTGCATTCCGCGCCCTCACAATAGAGGAGCTCTTGCAGGCACTAGAAGGTGACAAGCATGAGTTTCTAGACATTCAAGAGTCCATCAAGAATGTCTGTAGCGGCTTTGTGGTCATTGACAATGATGGCAACGTCGCGATGATTCATGAAACGGCTCGAGAGTATCTGCTTGGCGCTATCCGCCGACCTTTCCAAGTAGATCGACGCCAAGCACATGAGCAGTTGTTCTTAAGCTGCATGCGATGTCTTATGTCTAGTGGCCTTCGATCAGAGGTTACTCATGGTATACCGGACTTTGCAAGCTACAGCTCGAACTGGTGGTCATCCCATTTGGCAGCAGTGCCAGCCGGAAGTGAAGCCGTGGCTAGTGTCATAAACAAATTCCTGACAGGCCATTGTGTACTGACGTGGATACATATCCTAGCAACTGAACTTCGACTTCGCATACTCATTCAGGCGTCGAAGAATTTGCTCGGCTATGTCAACAAGAGGAAATCCCAGCTTCCAGCCAGCATCGGAAAGAGGGACGTTGTGGAACTGGAGCAGGCCGAAGCCTGGGCAGTGGACTTCGTCAAAATCATTGGCAAGTTTGGCGCCATCCTGCGACGCAACCCCCCTACGATACACAAAACCATTGCTCCTTTCTGTCCGCACAACTCAGCTATCTATCAGCAGTTTGGTAGAACAGAGCAAAGGAGTCTGATGGTTTCCGGGATTTCGACACAGACATGGGACGACTCTCTCGCAAGATTGTCATTCGGCTTTGGTACCTATGCCTCCTTTGTATCTACTGCGGGAAATTATGTCGCTGTACTGGCCGCCTCGGGAAAAGCGTCTTTGTTCGACACCTCCCTTTTTGAGGAGACAGCGACGAGTCCCATCAGACATGGTGAACGTACATACATGATGAAACTGAACTCTTCCGGGACATTACTCGTCACATACGGCTACAATACTACGAAGATCTGGGTAATCTCTACGGGAGACTGCATAGCGACAGTGGCGAACCCAGCGACACGATCGCGTCCACTTGTCATCGCATTTGTGAACAACAACAGAACGTTGTTAGTTGGGTCAGACGATAAGCAATTACATTCACTTGAGATCAAGAAGCCATCGCCGACTTGGAATCTTGTCGCGAATTTTGAGGAAGAGGAACTCGAAGGTCACTTCTTGAACGCCGCAAGCTACATGGCACTTAGCGGTGACGGCAATTTGATGGCAGTCGCATACCGCGGCCATCCACTATCCGCGTGGGAAGTGGAAGGCCCTTATCATATTGGCCACTGCTGGCGCGCCCGGAAAGAAGTTGCGAGAGGCGAAGTCGCTGCAGCAAAGTGGCTCCCGCATTCTCCGCAAGTTCTTGGACTATACAATGATGGGGTAGTCTTCAGGTGGGATCCATATGGAGGTGAGCCCGAAGAGATCTTCACAGGCGCTTCAATACTCACTGTTAGCGGAGACGGAAACCTATTCGCAACAGGTGATGTACGGGGTGCGATCAAGATATATACCACCAACACCTTTCACCTAATCTACCAACTTTCATCTCAGGACGCCATCCTCGGCTTGGCGTTTAGCGCTGATCACAGACGCATCTACGACGTGCGAGGCTACTACGGAAACACCTGGGAGCCTGCAGCATTGGTGCGATATGCGGAGAGTGCAATAAAAGGAACGGATACCGAAGGCGAGTCTGAAAGCTCCTCACAAGAGTCAATAACGCCTGTCCATACATCCCGGAGGATAGATGCGATCACCGTGCTCGCAGCTTCACCTAACGGTCAGTACTACTGCTACGGTACTGAAAGCGGACGCGTAATGCTATGCAACACCAAAGAGGTCATGGTGACAGAACTGCATACCTCCAAAGGCTTTTTGAGCATCGAGCAGGTGTCCTGGAGTTATGATGGCCGTTACATATGTTTTGCCGACTCGGGCAAGAAGGTTTTCGTCATGGCTATGAACATGGATGCATCAAGAAATGATGGTGTTGCGCAGCATCAATTCGAAGTCTCACTCAAGACCCTTACGGATGGGTCTATACAGCAGCTGCTGTTCCAGCCAGACTCGAGCCATCTGTTCGTAGCTACATCAGCAACGCTCTGCACGATTTCACTCGAGTTAGCCTCGGTAGTGCGCTCAATACCCGCGCCCGAACATGACCGCAAGTGGATTGCGCATCCTCAAGATCCAGCGCTGATTCTTGGCTTTGGTCATAACTCGGTCGTGATGCTATCTTGGGACTTGGACGATTGTGGCACGTATGGTATCGAGAGATCACTTGAGCCAGATACCCCAGTACCATCAGATCAAGCAGCTACGTCAAGAACCGTGGAGCGCATACTAGTCACGTCGGACAATCAACACATCCTCATTCAAATGTCGCGAAGCACCAAGTCCAAGATAAAAGAGTTCCTCTACTTCGCGACCTCATCGTTCTCAACAAGCACGAGCGTCGAGACTCAACCAGAAACGGTCAGCGCACATCGACAGATAGTCATTTCCATGCCCCTCCCAGAAGAAATGGCTTCTCAAATCGGTTTAGCACTGGCTTTCCTCAAACGCGATCGATTACTCTTCCTGTCACGGAAGTTCTCTATCTGTTCCTGGGAAATTCCGTCGGAAGCTAGACTCGCGCAACCATCACAGGTCACGAATCAACAAGCCCATGAGGAGAAAGGATTCAGCGAGATATTTGCATTGCCAGCAGACTGGGTCAGCAAAGATTGTCTCGAATTATGCATGATTTGGCTCCAAGAGAGATCTCTTTTGTGCCCACGGAATGGAGAGGTCGCAGTGGTGAGATGCTCAAGCTTCAGTTGAGCATGTACGGTTGATTATGTGGAGAGCGCTACGGACTATAGAGATGCTTCTGTCGCCATGCAGTTCCTTTGTGGTAATCAACGAGAAACAAGCATTGAGCAAGCAGGCATAATCCGCCCATGAAGGTGAAAGTTCCGCCTACGCCCATCGATATTATCATTGGTTGCAGAAATGATACTGTGACTGCTGCTAAGGCGCAGCGAACTATATTGCTAGAGGCTTGTGCAACTACCGGTGCTCGGTTATTCTTGTCTACGAGGAGCGTGTTGTAGATCTGCGCCCTCTTCAGCTCTCAGGCTCCGTATGGAGGATTCTTAGGAAGGAACTGACACTGAAGTCGAGCTGCATACAGAATCCCGTTACAAACTGTAGGACGAGTGATATGGCCATTGGCTTTAGTGTTTGAGCATCAGTAGAGTTAGAGCTTGGGGATATGACGCACCTTCCGATAATGCAACACCCACCCGTAGGTTACAATGGACGCCACAATCATGAACATGGGTATCCAGATGACCTGCAGCCGAGCGTTTTCGACAGGAAAGCTGTCCAGATCATCTCCAGCGACCTTATCTGTGGATAAGCCTTGCGCGGTTCGGGCTTTGCGCCAGGCTCGGTCCAGAAGCTGGCCAGACACAAAAGTAGATGCAGCACCGCCGATACCAAAAGGGAGGTTGATAAGTCCGGCTTGGAGCTGATTCAGATGATACACGTCGACGAATAAGGTTGATAGTGAAGCATTAATACAGGTGTGTACAACGTAAAGCAACCCGCAAGCTAGGATGATAATCGCGTTATCTAAACGTCGAAGTATCATGAGCGACTTCAGCGGATTAGGCATACGCCAAGTTCGCGCAAGCTCAAATTCGCTAGCATCCCAATGACGCATGATGAGCGGAGGTGGTAGCAGAGGCTTCGTCGGTCGAGTTGATCCATTACCCACGATGTTTCGCGACGTCTCCGGTAAGCACAGTAACATAGCTGCGAGGCAAGATCCCGATACGATGCACAGGAACCAAAAGATCCAAGGCCAGCCAGCCACCGACGTAAGGCTACCGCCAAGGACTGGCCCGATGCTAGGTGCTGTTGTCACACTGGCAACTATGAGCGATTCTGTGTCTTGACATCGGAAGGATTGACGAACGCGAAGGATACTAGTGCAGCGAAAGAACCTCTTTCTGCAGGTGACGCAATGTCAACGACAACGCCATATGCTATCGAGAATGTACCTGAAAGTGGTAAGAAGCAGACTCAACGACTGCAATAACACATACCAGAGATGGCCAAAGCCTGCAATGCGCGAAGAGCAAGAAGCGCCGGATATGTCTTCGACAACGCAATAGCAAGGTTCGCGATGAAATACACGGTCAAAGTGACAGCATACACTGGCCGCCGTCCAAGTATCTCTGCTGCGTCAGCTACCAGCATAGGCGAGAAAGTAGCGACCGCCATGTACGTCGTCACGGTCAAGTCGATCTTATTGACAGACACTCCCAATTCTTTCGATAACGTGGGAATTGCTGGGAAGTAGATGAAACTGCTCAGCGTGGAGAACCACGCTGCGTATGATGCTAGTGCAACGATGCACCATTTTTCGGCTTTGGTGAAGACGGAGTAGCGTTCGATGGCTTCGGTACCTACGTCACGATTGCTATCGGTGGCAACCTTTTCGCTGGACATGTCTTTTTGGTGGAGCGAGATGTTAAGAGGTATCAACTGCGCTTCTGGTATTGGGGCTGCTGCTCAAGGTTGGGGGTACGAGGCTTTGTGACGTAGCGGCAGGCGGCGTGGTACACATGTGTTTACCCCTCGCCTTGATCGCTGCCAATGAGATAGCATTCCAGTACACAGAAGCCGATCTTCTCGACATTGACGTGGTCTGGCAATGTTTTCTGCTAGAGCATTGCTCGTTGCGATTCGAAGCTGTCCAGGTGGCTATCTGCCGATAGCATTGTTTACTCCTTCTTTACAGTACCTCTATCATTCAGTACAACGGCTCTAGATGCGGTCGACGTGATCGCACGATTATCTACTGCCTGCAAATTGTGCATGAGAAGGGTAAGGCGTCGTGGATGGGTGGATGCAACCATTTCGATTATCTAACAAGTCTACCTTCGAATATAGCCCCTGACTGGAATGCTCTTCGCGACATGATAGAAGATGCGAACGTATTTGTCTAGAGCTTCAGTGCATAAGTTAGAACACCCTAGAGCCTACATCGGCGTTGGGTCATCTGCTTTGCATGTTTGCATCTCCATGTAGGTCGCAGGCCTATTCAAGATCTTCGGGGTATGAGGCATCCGTGTACAGTATTCAGTAGTCGTACCTGCCGCTACACACAGCTTCCGCAACGACATCATCTTGGCATCTGGAAGCGATCTCCATACCGAGTTCACGGAAGCCTTAAAAGAGGAAGGAGCTATAGTTAGCAAGGAAATCCATCTACTCTGCATCCTCATTTTCGCACACGGCGATTTCAACGAGGACTTTGACTTCGACCTCTGTTCATTTTGTCATAACGTCGACATGGCTGGATTACAACTAAAGCCTTTATCCAATTCCGACTCAACGCAGTAAGCTTGTTGCGCTGTAGCTGTAACTATGTCTCAAACTACAAGCTTCTCTCCCACGACCGCATCATCCGGCACTGTTACTGTCCAGTAAATCACCGATACACTCTCTTACCTACCCTATCAATCCAATCCACCCGTGCTTAATACATCGCCACCCCACAGATCACCACCACACAAACCCACACAAACCCACACATCAAAATATACATATATCATCTATTCGTTACACAATCATAATACCTATTCATAACATATCCACACGCTCAAACATACAAATGTTACTCGAGGCCAACAACAGCCACAGCCAGAGAGCCAAAGTAAACAAGCGTAATCGAGCAAAGCTCATACAAGAAGGAGAGCCAAGCGATATCAATACAATCTCCCAAAGCATCCGAGGCATGAACAACATATGCGTCCGGTGTGGAGATTGGTGGCTGACAGTAACAATGTGGACATACGTGCAGTGGGGTATCTCAACGCCAGCCATGCAATGCGATCGTCGAGCCGTAAGAATAGTGTTGAAGAGAGGGTGGGGGGTGAATTCTCATGCGGGAAATGCTCCCATGATTATCTCGCTGGATACGCGGGGTACGGTCCGTGTTGGTGATGGTGGGGCGGTGCGGGCATCGATGGCTGGTACATGGCGCGTTTGTCTTGTGGGTATGCTTCGAACATGACGCGTCGTTGAGGTGCTTCGGCTCTGAGTGAGCTTGGTGCTGGTTGGCCGCTAGCTGGGAAGCGCTGGGAGTTGTTGGGACTGCTCATGAAGAGTAGTGTGTCGACGGCGTCCTTCTCGGCTTGTTGGCTGGGCATGCGAAGGATGCCTGCTCGAGGAGTGGCTGGTGATCGTGGGCCCGCACCAACATCACTGTAGTGTTTCCTTTGGCTGGCGCCGAGAAGCGGAGGGGGCACATGCGAGACGCTGGAGCGTCGTCTTCGCCCACTCTGGAAGGTTGGGGCTGGTGCGAGGCCATAGCCGTGTTGTGCGCCGGTGATGGATATGAGGTTTGCCGCGGCGTTCATAGCAGGGCGGGTACCTGGTCGCCAGTAGGCTGACGGGCGTTAGCATTTACAGAGGAAGTCTTGGGGGCTGACTGACAAGCTGGAGTCCCTGCAAGTGACCGGGTCGGATCAGAAGCCGGGGACATGATCATCTGGTCTGAGATGTCAGATACGCCGCTCGGTCTTCTTTGGCGATCGATGGTAGCAGGTGATTCGAATGCAAGATGGCCAGTCCTCCCAGGAGCAGAGTTGGGCGAACCACGCTGTGACTGGCTTTCTTCCAGCTCGTCGAGCGACTGCTTCTCCCAGCCGTTCTGGACTTTGACCATGGCGTAGGAAAGACGCGTCTTGAGCTGTGCGGATAGCTGCGTTCGCGTCAGCAGACTGTAAACTTGGCCTGGAGCTATAATACGCACCTCACCAATGCGACCTGAGTGTGTATCCATGCTCTTGTTCCTCTTGTGTGAATGGGCGGGCGCCGATGGAGTTTCAGGCGCTAGCCCAGCGCTCTTAAGAGATCCATCTACAGTCCTCTTGGAGCTCTTTGCGGGGGACTCGAGTGGCATGGGACCAGCTGCTGTGTCACCAGTCTGGAGCGCGTTGGCAGCAGCGGTATCGATGCGTGGTGCCACTCGCACCTGCCCACCGGCACTCTCACTTGATGATTCCGGCATTGGGGCCTCGGTAGGTTTACTTTGGCTCGCTACATTGGTCGAGGACGGGGTGGTGAGGTCGGTCTCGGTAGTGGTGGCCGTGGAGAGATTGCTCGACGAGGAAGGTAGTGCCGGTGCCGAGAAGGTGCTAGACACAGCAGACTGGACTGATTCCTGCGAGTGCTGGGGCTCTGTGTTGTTTACGGTAGCAATAGTTGCTGTATGGGTGGCCTGGGCGTGTTCTGCTGGTGCAATGGCAGCGTGAGTACCGGGGTAATTAAGTCGGCTTGGGGAACGCGACTTACGCATCATGGTTTCGCGGGCGTGGCGGCGGGGTAGGAGGCAACTAGCGACTCGCGCTGTGAGTGCAATTCACAGTCAAAGTGGAAGCAGCTGCGCCAAAAATACAGATGCAGGTAAGGATGTCAGGGTAGCAAACGTCCCAATGGCGGGTCTCGGTGGGAGTTGGATGGTCGGAGACGTGTCGTAGCAGCACCGTGGACCGTGTTCGTGCGCAGCACGCGAGATAGCGGGAAGACGCGCGAACGGGCGGGAGCAGTTCCTTGTTGGGCACCGCGGAACAACTCGCAAAGGGCGCGCAGAATGTGGCAGGAGATGTCAGGGATGCTGTGAGGCTCTTGCGTCGCGTCTCGGTGTGGTGGAAGAGGGCAGAGCCGGGCGCATGCTCATCTGCAAGAGCCTGACGCCGCTTGTGAGCCGCGCAGTCACATGGTGCCAGCCGACGCGTCCACGTCCGGGTAGCTCTAGCGGTGGCAATCCACTTCCCAACGAGCGAACGATCCCGACTTTCGCGGCAAGAGCGCGTCCATGCCATATGCACGGAAACGCCTGGTCTGAGCAGAGTTTTTTGGCTCGACACCTGCATCAAACACCCGCGCCCACGTCATGCTCTCGTCTGAGGTAGCATCCGTGGTACCAGTTGCAGAAGAGGCAATCCACCTGCATCATCGCCCATCCTCTAGTCGAGCCGCGTGCAACATGGTCGCCGATGCCGCGCTAGTCAAACACGCGACATGCCGTTATTGAAGAAGAGGTGTCGTGTAGGATCGACGAGAGCGTTGATGGTCGCAGTAGTGAGGTTGAAAGTGTAGCAAGGAGCATGTCTGTCCACGACATGACGAGTACCATAAAAAGCACATATGCTGTTTTACTTGTTATTGGTCACGTATGAGCTGATTCATCTGCTACTTCACGTTGTCATGTTCCATGTGTACTACTACTGGAGTAAGTCGATCGCGTACATTCTCTACATCCAAACACTACATTCTAAATCTACACGCTCCTCTCCTAACTCTTGTAGTCCCACTTGGGCAGCTTCATAGTGCCATGGTCATTCAGATGCCTGTGCATATCGAAGCTGTTCCACAGCAGATGCGGCTCATGGCCCCAGCCCTTCCTTAGGCACTCAAACTCCGCCTTGTTGAAGTAGTCCTCCAGGATAGGTACGTAGTCGGGGTGTGCGCACTTCTTGATGATGACGCGGGCACGCTCCTTGGGTGAGAGACCACGAACGTCAGCGAGACCTTGCTCTGTGACGATGACGTCGAGGTCGTGCTCTGTCTGGTCGATGTGCGTGCACATGGGCACGATGCAGGATACTCCAGTTGGGTCGGTCTTTGTAGGACGCGATGAGGGGGTGTGCATGATGGAGTACTTGGAAGAGCGAAGGAAGTCGGCGGATCCACCGAGACCGTTGAGCATACGGCTACCCATCACACAGGTTGAGTTGGCGTGGGCGTAGATGTCGACTTCGACAGGCGTGTTCATGCCAATGACACCGAGACGTCGAATGATCTCGGGAGAGTTGGAGACTTGCTGGGAGCGGAGTAGCAGCTTAGGCGCGTAGCGATCCCAGTTCTCGTAGAAGCGGTGGAAGCCATCGGGAGAGAAACGGATCGAGGTTGCAGTCGCGAAATCCAGGTTGCCAGAGTCGAAGAGGTCCAGGAAGGAGTCCTGGAGGACTTCGGTCCATACCTTGAGGTTCTTGAAGTTTGCGCCACCGGACTGTGTCTGTCAGCATCAAACATCAATAATTTGACAAGAAGGTAACATACGGCAAGTCCACCAACAACAGCGTTGGCAATGTTTCCAATACCAGACTGAATAGGCAGGAGGTTCTCTGGCAGACGGCCATGGTTGACCTCGTGCTTCAAGAACTCAATCAAGTTCGCAGCAATAGCCCTTGAGGTTTCATCCTCGGCGGCGTTGGGCTGGGTCTGATCGGGGTAGTCGCTCTCTACGATAGCCACAACCTTCTCTGGGTCTACAGGAATGTGCGGTGTACCGATGCGATCTTCTGGGGACATGATGAGGTAAGGCTTTCGACGCGGCGGCAGATCAGTCATGGTGATGTCGTGTAGGCCTTCGAACGAGGGAGCTGCGGTGTTGACTTCGATAATGATCTTGTCAGCCATCTGGATCAGTTCGGGTGATGCGCCAACACTGGCTCCTGGAATGATTCCACCATCCTCAGTGATGGCCGACGCTTCCACGATGGTCACATCGAGCTTGTTGTGGGGCTTGTTCAATGTGTAGAAGCTACTCGGAATCAGCATCGTCTCCTCTTCGTGGAGTTCTGCGTGTTTGTACATACCCGTACATCAAGTCGACGGGAAACATACTCAGATGTTTGTCGAAGAAGTTGATGTTGCCATTATTGATACCCTTGGCGATCTCTTTACCGACTTGATGCGGCGACCGACGCTCGATCATGTTGAGACGTGCCCATCGATTCTCAGTCTCCGCACCTGACGATGCACCGACGAAGAGATTGTACTTTAGCTGACCCTGGAGATTGTTCTTCTCAACATGGTCGGCCATAGCCGTAGGGATCTTCCTGCCATGCCGTTAGTCTAGGAACCTGCCCAAGGTAATTGACAGAGCCATTTAGATCAAGGCATGTGTGGCGAGAGTCATGGCCAAGGCTCTTGAGTACTTGTCTTGACCTGATCCATGCGCAGCTCGAATTGTGGAGCCGGAGATAGCTCGGCTTTCGTCACTTCCTAAACTTCCGTTCCACCTCGGGATCCAAGATCGAACTACCAAGTAGGTCCGACACCGTACACCGTAGTCAGGGCTACCTTGAGTACCCGAAGAGCCTCATAGCTTGGCCGATAAAGTAGCGTGAGAGAAGTGAAAATGCTTACTTTGGATATCCGACACCCGTGAAGCCACTCCAGCCAATGTATGCTCCATTGGGGAAGTGGTGAAGCAAGTCCTCAGCTTTCGCAATCTTCTTAAGATAACTTGGCCTCCTGACCCGGCTCTTCAATGCTGCTGAGACCGACATCTTTGGTTCGTGCCGTTCTTCTCTTCCGCTGTGACGATCGTGATTGGATTAGCAGCTTATCGATAAGCCAGTAGCTGTTCGTGGAGCGTCAAGCTCAGCACAGGCGTGGAATAAGGAATATAGAGTGGAGAGGAGCCGCGATGGGCGAGACGTGTCAATTGAATCTCTGGGGAGACTTGGAGTATTTAAAGCATGGAGAGGCCAAGACTAGACTCGTTTCGACCGGCGTCGGCGTGGAGTGTTGCTGTGGGCTGATGCTCATGATGACCCACCCAAACATGACGTCTGCCGCAAAACCCCGGTCGGGGGAGGGGAGGTGCGTGCAAGAATGCGCCATGATTGGAGGACTAGTCGTAGGATTATTGGTTTGCGTGCTTGTTTCCAACGCTGTGTAGAAAATGTCCGATCCCGATCATCCACTGTAGAAAGCTACGAGGTAGCTCACTTCTTTGTGTTGTCTTCGACTTGAATACCTTCCTCAAAGCACCTCCCAGTGCTGTTCACCGTACATGATACATAGATGTTCTTAACAATAATCAAATACAGGCACGGCTGGAAATAAGATCGCTATTTGATCCTATGCTCAGCAGACAACATGTCGTGGTGTCCAAAATCTGATTTGAGATGAAAACGTGAAATTAGGATCGCTCGTCGTACCTGCGTGTATATTCATACATGTAAATCCAATCCAACTCCTCGCCCGTGTTACCGTCAGCGGGGCTAGCCATATGATTTTCCAGTCTACAACTCCATTATCTCTTGAACCTCATCCACGATCCCATCCCATAATGTCTTCTCTGGTGCGAAATAGGTCTTGAAGACATCTTTCAGCACCTTATCACCAAGATCCATGTGTCCGCCCTTGGTTGTCTTGAAGTGCAGACCACCCTTCTCGTCAAGCTTCTTGAGCCCAATCCAATCCTCTTTGTAGATGTCGCGATCCCTCAGATCCGTGACCTCGTTGCTGGTAGTGTTGGTGTACGCGAACCAACCAGACTCCTTCGGTATGACAGTGGTGTCGTCGTCGAACACGTACATGACGAAGTTGTCTAGCGCGGCAAGGTTCTTCGCGTAGGTGACGTTCTTCAGCACCCTCTCGTTGTTGATGTCGGCGATGAAGTTGGAGGATTCGAGATACTCTTCCGTAGGTTCACCGGTCGTCTCGTTCGTGGCCTTGAAGTACTGCGCCGGCACCAGGTGCCCCTGCACCCATGCACCCCAGGTGTTGGATTTGAGCAACCCGATGTAGCCCTTGCAAAGCCAGTCTCCGTCTTTACATAGCTGATACTTTGCGATGCCGTTGTGTTGACTACCAAATGTGACCAGGTTCTTGACTTTGATTCTGTCGCCACAGCGCTCTATCATTCCACGGAGGAACTGACCGCCCTGCGAAAAGCCAAGCGCGTTGAGGCCGGGGGCTTTGCTCAAAACCGCGTGTTCTGCGATGTCGTCGCAGACCTGCGCAATCTGCTCTGTAACATTGCCGAGGAATGTGGCTGTTCGATCGCTTCCAGCATCTTCATCAAGCCGGATGTAGTATACGTATGTATCGGGGTTCGTCTCGTTTGCGAGGTCGCCTACGCTATGCAGGCCATCTGCGGCATAGTTGTCGCCTAAACCGTGCCAGATGAGCAGTGGGAGGGGCTTGGGATCGCCGCGTGCGAGTGGTGACGCGATCGCCTGCGTCACGAGTAGGAGCGTCGAAATTGGAAGTAAGTGCAACATTTTGGCGATGGTGGAATGAAAGTGGGAGGCGGAGTTTCGAGAGGCGCAAGCTGAGAGCATATGAGACGCGCACTGATCTACGCGGCGTTGTATGACGTTGGCATCAAGCCGAGGCAGGTACAGCCGGACTTGGTCATAGCTCTCCATAGCTTTTACGTCCACGCAAAAACCACAATTTGATCAAGGCAGAGCCGTCGTGATTTATAGAAAGCAAATGTACATTCTAACAGTTGCACAGAGTCTATATTGCTATGTGCCGACCAGTGGTATACTATCATATCGTCAAACAGATCTTTTGAACGCCGGAACGCCAACACATTGCGCCGTGCCATGCAATGATAATTGTAATGGATTGTTCAACCAGCGATCAACGGTGTCTGTACCGACTGGAGTGCCTCTTGCTTCATTGCTTTCCGCTTCTCCTTGCTGATGGAGCTCTTCTTCTCTGTCTTCTTAGCCTTCTTGGCCTCTCTCCTGGCCTGCTTCGCAGCAAGCTCTTCATCGTCGAGCATCTCCTCCTCCCACTCATCCCACTTTCTCTTGCGCTCTGCAGACTTGCCCTTTGGTGTGCCCTCTGTGATGGCCTTGTGGTACGGTCCTTCAAGGATTTGCTCAGACTCAGTCCATAGTTCGTCAGCGAGCCAGATGGGCAGGGCCTTGGTCGCGGGACCTTTGACGTGCAGACTGCGGATGTTGCGCCAGCCCTGACCGACGTGCTTGTTAACGACTTCGGACACGACAGCGGCAGTGTTCTCCGTAATCTGTTGAGGGGTCATGGAGAGGTTGGCGACCTTGATAGATGTGTTGGCGGAGGGGCTCATGCTGAGGTAGGTCGAGTTGAGAGCAGACTCAATCTCCTTTGCTACACCTTGCGGTGTGCCGACTACATTCTGGGACTCCTTCGCATCCTTGTCCTTCTTTGCGCTCTTGTCGATGTATGCGCCAGCAGTAAGGCGAATTGGGATCGGGCGCTTTGACTTGCTCTTGTAGAAGACTTTGCCGAGGCACTCTGCGACAATCTTGATAATTCGATCGTCGACCATGAAAACATCGTACTCGGCGAGAAGCGCGCGCTTCTGCTCGAATGCCTTGTATCGCTTCTTCAGCTTGTCTACACCGAGCACGCGCTGTACCTTTCCGCGAAGGGCGGCCGGGAAAGCGTCGGATGCGACGAGGTCTTTGTACGCTCTTTGCGGGTCTTTGGTGAAGATGCATATCCGTACATCGCTTGCAATGATGGGATGGGGTAGCTTGCTGGTATGTGTTAGCGATGTGGCGCAAGCGCTGCGATGCGCGAACATACATTGCCAGAGGCTTCATGCTCTTGGTGTTGCCAATCTGCTTCTTCGTCGCCAGACTGAGAAAGATGGGCTCGTCGACCTCTTCCGCCTCGTCCTCATCGGCCGCCAAGCTCTTCTTGGGTGCTTCCTCCTTCTTGTCCTCGACGTGTTTCTTCATGTGCGCAACGAGCGCTTTGGCCGCGCGCTCGACTTGCGACGGGTCGAGCTGGTAGGGCGTGCCATTCGTGGCTTTGGTAGTGAGCGGCGCCTCGGGCGCCTTCTCAACCTTCTTGGTAAGGGTCTTGGATTTGGCCATTGTTGCTGTGATATGGTGCGATGTTGCTGGTCGCTGGAAATTCTGGGCTAGACCCTTGTCCAACTTTCCCTTCGAACTTTTTGCCGGCGCCACAGTTTCTCCGAAGCCCCGAAGTCAAATGCGGGGCTCCTCAGAGCCAATCGTCGCGTCGCAGTATCCTCAAGCACACGACAGGCTATTCACCCTTGCAATGTCACCAGCCGATGGATTTCAATTTCAGTCCTTGTCCCCATGCCGTCAGCCGTTTCATGAGCAGCGCGTCAATGTGCGATAGGGGTACATAGTATCATCCCAAGGTCATTTGTGCCCGTCACAGAATAGTGGATGCGAGATATTCATACCATCGCGGACTGGATCATTAAGGTTTCGTGGACGCGGCAGCAATTATCAACTCTATATCGGATTGCCCACACGAGACGAAAGTGTTCGTTATCGATTGACCGAAGCCAGTCCGAACACGGTCCAGCCGAAACGCCATCACCGTGCGCTCGCCTGGCCATCTTTCACGACGCGTCTATAGCACTGTCGCGCGTCCATCGGCCCTACCGCTCCACTTTGGTTACGAACGTGTTTGCTCTCGCGTTAGCTGCATCGATTGCTGCACAAAGTTTTTCTTTTCACCTGCGTGACGTTTGCCTGTATCTGGATATTGGCGTATGGCTGTGGGTCCATTCGATCGCTGCCCAAGAACGCGTAGTACATCAAGATCTCGGTACGCGTTGAGTGCCTGCGTGTAGATTGCTTTTGGGGTATTCACTTTACTTCACGCAGTCGTGAAGTTTACTGCGACCGACGTGTATGCCATTAGGGCAGCAGGAAGTGTGAAAGATTCTGTCTCAGCGCGTAGATATTACCAATGATTGCAGATTAATGTGGAATTGGCTGCAGTGCAGAGGGGCTGGCAGAGCGGAGAAAACCAAGTTAAAGTGGCAGCCGAGGACAGAATGTATGTCATAGGCGTAATAATTGTGCTCGTGCACAGAGGCTGGTGAACGGATGTGGCCGACGTGACTGAACTTTGGGATATGTATAGCGAAGAAGCGCTGCAAAAGCCTGGAAAAGAATGCAATCGGACTAGCTGAGACACGTAGGGCATCTTGTATCTGAAAGCATGTTACAAAAGACGTATTGCAAGGGCGGAATGCGTGGTGAACTTGGGTGCTGGTTCTTACGACGGTCCTAGCTTCATCACGCTAGCCAACCCACACCCGCGTGTCGCGACGTCTTCCATGATCGCGTTCGTGACCCGTAGTTTCGCAATTGACCTCATGGCCTCCTCCTCCTAACCTACGTCTTTCTTTTCCCATACCGCCTCGTGTCAATCTTCGCGTTGCCAACACTCCTTCTGCAGCCGCCGGCCTGCCCGTCTCCTTCGAGACACGTCCACCTTACCCCATAGACCTCGACACGCCTGCAGCACCGCGTCTTAGGAGCTCCCCACACGAGATGGACTTTTCACCCAGCAAGGCGATGCCGCGCTCCCTCATCGAGTCGACAGAGATGCAGTCGGGCCATGTTCGGAAGCCCACCCCAACGCTTCTTCCGGCCTTCGGCGAAGACGGGCCATTCTCTTCATCGCCCTTTCCACGCCCAACGTCCTCGAAACGCAAGTTCGAAGAGGACTCGCCCACCTTTCCCAAGCAACTGAAGTACTACCCGACCCCCCAGCCCACGTCGTCGACCAACATTCTCTCCTCGTCGCCCCGCCATGCCCGGCCGGGCTTCGAGCGAACCTTCTCTGCTCTGTCGGAGAGGACCCCACTCGGTGCTGTGCCCACCGTCGACCTCCCCGCAGATGGCGAGGTCGTGAGAATGGGCCGCAGCTCCAACACTTCGGACTACCAACTCTCCACCAACCGCCTCATTTCACGCGTCCACGTCCAAGCTGCCTACCACGCGCCAAGCCCGCCATACCCGCACGGCTACATTGAGGTTGAATGTCTGGGATGGAACGGTGCGAAGATCCACTGCAAGGGACGCATCTTCGAGCTGAGCAAGGGAGACACCTACATGTCAGAGAACCCCGAGACGGCCATCATGCTGGATGTACAGGATACCCGCGTCATGATTGCCTGGCCGACCATCCCTGTGTCCAAGTTCTCCTGGGAGTCTGAGGAAGAAGGCATGCCTACCCCGACCCGTACGCGTACCCAGGAGAACTTGGCTTCTAGTCCTCCTGTCGTTCCACGCTCGCCTGTCTCTCAAAGCCCTATCCGCCCTCCTGTCTTCGCGGGTCTCAGCTCAAATGCCCAGTCCGGTCCTGTTCAAGTGTTCGAAGATGCCGACGCAAGTGTAGACAGCCCTGGCGTCAAGACCCCAGGTTCTGCAGACCAGACCTTTATCCGCCCCTCTCTCCCAAGCTCCAGGTCTAGTCACGAAGTTCGTCCTGTCATCGACCCTAAGGAGAGTATCAACTTCGCTGCCGACGACTTCTCCGACAACGACGAAGAGAACGACCCTGTTGTACACTCATTCGGACCCTTCGGTCAGAACTTGCTCAACGGCATGGCTTCTTTCAACACAGCTACGCCAACACAGTCCAACGCCCCCCGTATGCGCGGACCACTACTATCACCGTCTCCCAGACGTCGAGTTACCGAGCCTATCCGGTTCAAAGAGTCGCCCATCAAGAACCATGTCATCAACCAGTTGGCGTTCTCTCGTATCCACTCGCAGCCACTCTCCGCCATTCACAGCAACCTTCCCGCCGAATTGAAGGCTTGTGCGATTAAGAGCACAGATGGCAAGGATGAAGAGGGCAACGGCGCATCCACACCCCTTCCTCAGCTCTCTAGACAAGAGCTCAAGAGGATTCTAGACGACACTCCATGTGTTGGCGAGATCCCCCGTGCCGGCAAGGATGCCGCTGGCCAGCCGCTTGAGAACGAGTTCTACTACGTCCCCGAGATGGACACCAACCAGATGAGGCGTGAAACCATCACCGCCGGTACACGCAGCACTGGACTACGGTCTGTAAGGAAGACACACAAGGTACGTCACACTCACGACCCCCATACCCGTTTTTCATCAATGTCTTCCTCAAGATCAATCGCTAACCATCTATAGCAATATTACTGGAAGAAGCCTCGTGTCTAAGCAGCTCCCTGTTAGCATCACCCACGCCATCCCGGATGGCAACCTCCCTTCAACTATACCCGTTTCTTTCAGCATTCGTACCACCGCCACAACCACACCAGACAGCACACGTCCGCCACCGAGCCTTCCGTCGACCGCGCGTACACTACCTATACTTCTTGAATTCTACCCTGTTTTTATATGCATAGCGAGGCGTTACGATACCATTTCCACGCTCCTCGTTGTATCTCGGAGTTTCGAGTTTTACCCTTTTCTTGTTTACATGTATGGTCTTCTCTCAGTAGGAGATGATGTGTACTTCCCCTTACCTGCTGGATACGAAACATTTGTTGGATCGGCGTCTGCTCTATATTCTCGTTGGCGCTTTTGGTCTACGGTGAGAGTGACGAGTAGGGAACTGTGTCGAGAGATAGCACTACGGCCCAGAATCATGGTAATTCTCGGGACGATCATCAGCAACGGTGGAGAAGACGTTCGTTTTCATATCTACGAGTGTTTAGTATGCGAGCAAGAAAAAATATGTACTTGTATATTCGATGTTTGCTACGATCAACTACAAAGAAAATCCAAAAACTGTCGCATGTTGATGTGATTATGTGTGACACACGGCCATGGTCTTCTGGTCCCAAATGTCAAGGCTCACACGACATGGATCATCACAGTTCAAGAGCTGAGATTCATCAGTGCGTTTCAAGGCGTTTGGTGTTTGACCACCGTGCGTTATGATTGGTGACGTCATAAACTACGCTCGTGACGCGATCTCACGTGACTTGTTGCAAGACTATCGAATATGCGCAACACGACGTAGAAATGTGGGCAATAGAGTCGAAGCTGGTGGTGTTTGAATTTGATCGATTCACTCTACATGCCTGATTCCCTTCATAAAGTCTCAGATGCGAGACAAGACAAGCACGCCATTGATGCCATGTGCCGTGGAAGAAGTAGTAGCGACCTAGCCCTCATATCCATCGCATGCAATCGTTGCAATTCGTTTCCACCGACCCCGTTGCTCTCTTCGCCAGACGCCGATAGAGGCGAATAGTTTACTTCAACTTCTTCTTGGGGCGGAGCTGGTTGGTGTGTCCGCACTTCTTCTTGCGCTGTGGTGTGGTTAGTCAAGTCCGATATTCTGTTCATTCCCGATTCAGGGAACGAGTATTTTGTCATGACGTACGCAGTTGACAGCCCTCGGTGGTAGGCGTGCGTAGCACTTGCGGCAGATCATCTTGTCGCAGTTGTACTTGGAGGCAAGGGCCTTGAGCGAAGGCTCAATGATACCACCACGGAGACGGAGGACCAAGTGGAGGGTGGACTCCTTCTGGATGTTGTAGTCGGACAGAGTGCGGCCATCCTCGAGCTGCTTTCCGGCGAAGATCAGGCGCTGTTGGTCCGGGGGAATGCCCTCCTTGTCCTGGATCTTGGACTTGACGTTGTCTGCCCGCTGTCAGCTTCTATCCTCCCTCTTCTACATGTTTTGCAAGCGCGGGCGATGCGATGCGATGCGGTGCGGTGCGGAGTACTGCCGTCGAGTGGTATTGGGGGTGTGCGTACCGATGGTGTCACTGCTCTCAACTGCGAATAAGTCAGCGCGGGGCCCATTGCAATTCGTGCATCCGAGATATACCTTCGAGCGTGATGGTCTTGCCCGTCAGGGTCTTCACGAAGATCTGCATCTTTGGCGGTGTTGCGGTGTTCCGTGATCTCAGTATCGAGGTTGAGGGCGGAAGTGGTAGACGAATTCCACACTGTGTGCGCGCACAGACACCCATGCTAGGCCGGCAAGCGTTAGCGCGTGTCAAGCGCCCCTCCAGGGCTCACGTGTGACGCCTTCCACCACTCCAAACCGGCGCATCAAGCGTGCATTAATCTCAAAGAAGACAGCTGTTTGGGAAGTGATAGTCAAGCTTTGGATTTGTATTATTACATGCACGTGACGACCTCAAGCTTGCCTCTTCTGTGCCTTCTTCCACTGCTCAACCCTTGCTTCCGTGGAACTGACTGCTAATATGAGCATGTTCATCGATAGCCCCGCAATCTTTGCAGCTTCTCTGTACAGCGTCTTTGCTACATCGGGAATGTCTTCTTCCGTCTTCCAAATCGGGTATGCCTGCCCTATCCTAAATACCTCACTGTTCTCCTCGGCTACCACTGGGACTGTCTCCATTGCGCCCTGAACCACTTTTATCACCTCCAGTCTTTCGTTCAACGGTAAAGTATGGGATGCCTCCTGTGGGGGATGATGTGTTGTAGTGTCGATAGGAAACATATTGTACAGCGCGTGTCGGAAGTCATCAGCATCCCTCGTGCGCTGAATTTCGGCATCATCCAAATACTCTGTGGCGTAGAAGTCGAGGTACTGATCCATCTCTTCAGGGCCCATCGTGAGAACATCCTTCTCCTGCACCTTTGTCAACGCCTCGGTAGTGAAGCGTCCCCTGCCTCCTCGCCTGGCTTCCTCCGCGCCCTTCATTTGCTCCCGCCACACTTCCCAGTTCATCGCCGCCGCTGTTGGTTCGGAAGATGATTTCGGATAACGCTTCATGTCGTCGAGAGGATAAAGTAACTTGATGCATATGACGAGGGAGCTCACTAGTTGCGCCTCAGCTAGATGCCGTATACTCAGACGCTTCTTACCGTCATGGTGAGGAGCGAAGTCATAGCCGAGCAAGTCGCCGAGTCGTTTTGTTGCATCGTACAGCTCCAGTGGCAAGGCAAGCTCTTTCAGATAGCGGAACAGAAGGAGCGGCACGTTCAGAGCTGGCCAAGTGATACCGTGGTCTTTGCTGTAGCTCATTTGTAGGTCTATGAGCGTCTTGTAAAATCGTGTATAAGTAAGCGATGCGCTTGGATCGAGAACAGCACGGTAGGCAGGTAACAGTCGATCTCTCATGGCGAGTGGCAGTAGCTTGATTGCTCTGCGATATGCTAGTTTGCCATCAATGACCCACGCATAAACATCGCCTGGTGTGAACGGCAGCCTTAGTGTCAAGATACCAAGGTAGCACAAGACTAGACAATCATTGAGATTGGGAGCGGCAGACAACCTCATGCTCCTCTTTCCCTTGGTATCTCTGAGATGACCCTTCTCAGTATCTGTGGCATCATCCTCGCTCTCCATGGTGCTGAAAAGTTGTTGACTCTGGGACTCTGAGGACTCTTCATCCTGATTCGCGATCCGGTCTCCAAGTTGAGCAATGCGCAGCGACCAGAGATCGCGTGTGACTGCTTCAAGCTCCACAGGCAATCCTCGATCCTTGACGAGGAACCAAAGTTGATGTCGCAGGACGAGCTGCAGACATTTCAAGTATAAATCAAAACCTCGGGCGCCCTTGTAAATTTTACCAGTGGATTTGGCGTCATCTTCCGTCTCTTTCTTCTTGCGCGTCACTGTTCGTGAAGCCCCTACATAGTCATCGTCATCTTCTCCGCGGACTAAGCCAGCCTGTTGGTGGCCGTTCTGACAATACAAGAAACCGTCTTCGCCCTCTTCGTAGCGTCTAGACCGGCAGTTTTCGACGCCACAAACGGGGCCTTTAGTCGACATAAACGAGGCTTAAATGGATCTGGCGGTGTAGCTGAATGTGGAAAGAGTGGATGCAGATATTTCAAGGTAACGAGGCTGCAAGTGAGATCAAGTGCGTTTGAGTGCTGCGTCACATGCTATAGTTGTTGGCCAGGATACACGAGATCGAAGTTCGCGGGCGACTAGCGCGGATCCGGCAACCAGTCACACGAATTTTCTACCAATGAGGGACGCGACATTTGCCGTAAAGTCATCACCTTTTATTCATTGCCAGAAGCGTAAGGGATATATCTAGGAAGGGAAATGAATCGTAATACGTTTCCCAGACATGGCAATGCAAAGAACCCAAAACCGTCCGAAGAACCTCGTGCATTGGTCGCCTAGTGCAAATCGCACGGGAGAATGCTACGTTTGCCGCGGAGCTACAACTTTGCACGCAATATGCAAAGAGTGTTGCAGCCCCGTTTGTAATCTGTCTGCAGTGCGCGCCTTGCTTCCTGCTAAACAGTCTACGTATTGAGCGATGCGCTTATTTGGGAGCCTCCTTGGCGTCGATGCAGGCCTCCTCACCCATAGCAGTAAGGATAATGACGTCTGGTGGTCTGTCAGCATGACCCAAAAATCGCCTATTCAGGGTGTAACTTACTGGTGTCCTTTCCGTCCTCGGTGAACATCTTGTTGATCTTGTCACCAACTTCACCATCGGGGACCTTGACGTCGTCCTTGGTGGAGCCGTCGTCGGACATGAGGGAGAGGAAGCCGTCGTCAGTAACGTCGAGCTAGTTCGCGTGTTAGCTCAGGCTTCGCATTGGAGCCTCATGGGCCACTTACGAGCTGGTACTCGCGACGGGTGACGTTGGGAACGTCCATGTTGTGGGTGGAGGGGCAGAGATCTTCGAGCTTCTTGCTGGTGAAGATGTCGATGGCGACCAGATGGACCTTGGCGTGGCCGTGCTTTCCGGTCTTGGAGGTGGTCATCTCGACGATCTTGCAGGGGCGGTTCTTGATGCAGACGAAACCGTTCTTCCTCAAGGCAGAGCACTGCATGGGGTAGGTGGTGGAGGCACCCGCATCGGCGGAGTCGAAGGTGTGCTCATGCTATAATTTGCGGCGTCAGTACTGGGCGCAAGAGGGCGGCGCAAGAGGGTGCGAAGCTGGAGCGCAGCTGGCGACAGTGCTCCGAAGGGTGGGGTAAGAGCACATGCGGGGCTGGATTCCGAGGGACGTACCTGCGCGTCGTTGTTGTCCGCCATGGTGATGAATGAGAGTTGGATGCGACGGGGAGGAGAGGCTTAGTTCGGGCTGCTGGGCGAAGGGCAGTGGGGTGGGCAGTGTCCTTAAATGGAGATGGAGAGAGAAGTCTTTTGCGTGGGCAAAATTGGGCAGGCGCGGAGGGGAAGGTGGCGCTAGCGGATCCCTGTCTAGCTCGCGGATTAAACAATCGCCGGGCCTGCTATGTGAATCGAGGTGCTCTACAGCTGCCCTCAGAGCTCGCTATCCGTGTTTGATTCTTAGCATGCGCCCTTGAACTGATTGCGACCCAGTAGGCATCATGTGGGGTCTAGATAGGCTCTCTTCGTACTCGACGCCCACCGGCACGCCGCCTCCACGACGCGACTCGTACTCGCCCGCTCCCCGAAGGGGCTATCCCGCGCCTGCGCAACCCGTGAGGCCGGGACTGAATCCGCGGTCGTCTTCGCTGACGCCCCTCATATCACCCAATGCTTCGACTGCGAGCCTGCCTCTATCCGCGCGCATGCCAAATGGCGGGCCACGTAGACGCCAGACAGGGGGTGTTCCGCCCAACGTGCCAGATCCCGTACACGTGCTAGAGTCGATTATGGGAGGACCGCCGCGCAACTCGCCTTCCACGAACGGGGAAGACTCGACGCGTATATCGGAGAAGCCTGGAGTGGTAGAGGAGGAGATTGATTTCGGGGACCTGAGCTTGCACGATTTCGCCGCGGCGAAGACTGCAGAGCGACAGCAGCCCACTTCTGTACATACATATAGCGCGCAGTCAGTCGAAGAATGTATGTTTTCATGCTCAGAGTCCCAGGTCTTTGCTCATTGTGCTTGCAGATGACAAAGACAAAGACAAGTTCGAGGACCTACACAAGTCGATATTGGCGTGCGATGAGGTGCTCAAGTCGGTGGAAGCAAACCTGACAAACTTCCAGTCGGATCTCGAGGCTGTGTCTGCAGAGATAGAATCACTCCAGAACCGGTCCATTGCTCTGAACACCAAGCTAGAAAACCGAAAAGTGGTGGAGAAGCTGCTGGGACCGGCGGTCGAAGACATCAGCATATCACCAGCTGTCGTGCGTAAGATCGCTGAAGGTCCGGTCGATGACGGCTTCGTGCGCGCCCTTGCAGAAGTCGAGAAACGGTCCAAGACAGTCAACGACAAAGCCAAAGAACATCCAGACTTGATGGCCATAAAGGACGTCAAGCCCCTGCTGGACGATCTCGTAAACCGCGCCGTTGAACGAATACGAGACTATATAGTCGCCCAGATCAAGGCCATCCGTTCACCTTCCATTAATGCGCAGATCATCCAACAGCAAGCGTTCCTAAAATACAAAGACTTGTATTCTTTCCTCGCGAAACACCAGCCAGAGCTTGCGCAACAGATAGCGCAGGCATACATATATACCATGCGGTGGTACTACCTCAACCACTTCAGCCGCTATCGAACTGCGCTCGAAAAGATCAAAGTACATGCTATGGACAGGTACGATGTACTGGGCGAAGATCCCAGTGCGAGAAGAGCTGGAACTCTGCTCGGTCAGTCTCGTAACGCACCAGTTGCATACGATGCTTTCTCTCTTGGACGACGTCGCGATGCACTGAAGAGCTCCTCTGTCAATGCCTTGCCAGCAAACGTCGCCGAGGACGAGAAGTCACCGCATTACTTAGAGGTCCCTTTCCGCAGCTTCAACCTCGCACTTGTCGACAACGCGTGTTTCGAGTACACATTTATCTCTACATACTTCGCCCCATCACAGAACTTCCACGCCATCTCACGAACCTTCAACTCCATCTTCGAGCCTACGCTAGCAGTCGGCCAAGCGGTTACAAAGTCGCTCGTAGAAGCGACAACAGACACGCTTGGTATACTGCTGTGCGTACGACTTAACCAGCACTTCGCATTCGAACTACAACGTAGGAAGGTGCCGACGGTGGAAGGCTATATCAACGCAACCAATATGCTACTCTGGCCACGGTTCCAGCAGGTTCTGGACATGCATTGCACCTCGCTCCAGAAAGTCACTGCATCTCTACCCGGCCGACCTTCGACCGGTGCGGCGCTACTTGGCTCAAGCTCTTCCACCGCTACCTCCACAGCGCCAACACCTCTCACACAAAAGTTTGCAAACCTTCTCCAAGGCATTCTGGCTCTCTCTTCGGAAGCAGGCGACGACGAGCCAGTCAGTGTATCCGTGGGCAGGCTGAGGAGCGAGTACGAAGCCTACCTCACTAAGCTGAGCAAGGGTATCAGCGACGCACGGAAGAGGGAGAGATTCTTGTGTAACAATTATAGCTTGGTGTGTACGATTTTGGCAGATGTTGAAGGAAAGCTTGGGGAAGAGATGAGGGCACACTTTGAGAAGCTGAGAGATGCCTTCGACAAGTAAAGTAGCTGATAAGAACAATGAACATCAGCACTACAGGCTGACAGACATTCTGGCAATGTCTTCTGTTTTGTGTGCTCAATTATCTATTAGACACTCACTCCCATACGAGCAAGAAAACTAATAGGTGCAGGCAGGTCTAGTTGTCTTCTGTCGACTGGATTGATGTGATGTCATTTATTTCATTTCTATCCAATGCGTGCTCTTTGATCATCGAGTCTTTTCGCTAAATAGACACAGCGCAGCTCAGCATATGGCGCTCTCTAACCCATCAACGGGGCCCAGTCCTTCTTCGCCTGCTCGGTGAAGAAAGGACTGAGGTACTTGCCCTTGCCAAGGGCGAAACCCTTGCTCCTCAATAGCATGTACATGGCGTTGAGGTGGAAGTAGCCTGAAAGTCCGTGTGAGCATACATTCTACATTTGACATGTAGTTCCATCGAGGGTAATACTAACTGTTGGGAATGACGAAGCTGTTATAGTATTCAGCCAAGTTAGACATTGTCATAGTCTTCCCCGCAACAGTGACATCGAAGCTCTTTCCAGCGCTCTCGTTGTAAGTCTTCTCGTCAACGGCGTCAAAGACAGCGGCAAACTGCTTGAAGAAGTTGATGACGTCGTCGAGGGACGAGAAGGATGAGGGGTCTAGGTTAGGGGGTGCGGCCGAGCCGTTGAGCTTCAGGGTCGTGACTCCATCGAGTGGGAACTTGCCGACGAGGATGGGTTGCATGCGGAAGGGAAGCATGTCGCCGAGCTGGGCGTTGAGAAGGTCCTGATCCGAGGGCAGCGAGCTGTTCTTTGCCTGCTCTTCCTTGGCTGCTGTGAGGAAGCCAACAGCGCTGTTGGCGATGCCCTTGAAGGTGGGCACGGTGGCCTGGTAGAAGGAGGTGGAAGCCATCTTGGTGAGTAAATGTGTCGAAGTGGGGTGTGTTTGTTAAAGTAAGAATGTATTCAATGTATGAGCGAAAATTTGTATAGATGTGTGAAGAAAAAGAAAAGGGCGATCGCCCGAGTTTATCTATATACCTGGGTACTCAGGATTCTGGAATGTACCCCTCGATCCGCGCATAACACGTACGTCGGCCCATTGTTTGTCGTTAACCCCGTCCCGATACTCGTGTATCAGACCCTGTAGACTGCATAGCGCCGTTGAACTGCCGAGTGTGTGGGCTCAGGGCTTCTAGTCTACTGCACCACTGTGGATACAGTAGGCATCGAGATATACATAGTCCTTTTGCAATGAATGAGGTCAGAACTCTCGGTCGGACATCGAGCGAACGAGGTCTATACTAAACGTAAGGGGCCTCGAGTCTGAGGCTCAAACATGTAAGAGTAACGCGCCTGCATGTGTCCTGAGGTGGTGAGACCGGAGAGCGGGCCTTTCCGCACTGGTACTGCACAACATTGCCCCGCCTAGTCCAGAGCACAGACCACGAAATTTCTACGTTCGCCGCCGTAAACCTCGGCATGCGCGTACAGGACGGACTACTTCATATCCGTCACGGTAATCGCTGACACATCCTTGGTGGATACTATTCCGCTTTCCAGTTGCACGTCTAGAAAATTAATCATCAAGCATGGCCAAGCGGAAACGCAGCGCGAATGCGCAACTGCAGGCTGCAAAGAAGCAGTACCCGAACAGCATTCCAAGTCCACCACAAGATGCGAATCCACTCGAGCCAGCAAGCGTACATTCGGTCATCTCATCTGAAGAGATTGAGGTCGCGATTGAGACATTACAAACGCTATCCGCACATCCCTTACTGATCAAGTCAAAAGCGTGCAAAGACCTGAGGACTGCTGTATACGACTTCCGTCAAGCATGTACTACCGGCCTGAACTCAGCTGGTATGTCTGATATCTTGGGTTTCGACATCGAAGACTAAGCGTAAGAATAGATGGCAGTAACCTCACTGCGCGCATATCAGGTGCGCTCACAGACGCCAAGTACACAGAAGCCGTCATCCTGTTGGCAGAGATGCGCATCAGGAAAGACACCCCAACACTAGGTGCTCTTTGTCGCTGGGTGCGTACTCTGGACGTAGTCTCCGGACTGTCGATTCATGTGCAGGTCCCTAGTCATACAGTAGTCGGTACGAATGCGCAAAACGACCAACTGATCGGCGTGCTGGACTCAATATTGCGAGTTACGGGTCCGACAGACACCACAGCCCACGGCATAGATATCCCATCAGGTATCTCATTGCAAGACACTTGGGATCTGCGTGGGACCAGCAAGCCCACTCGTCAAGTACGGAAAAGCGTCGAGGACAAAAGCATCTTCAACTCATGCTCCCCCGACCTCAAGGACCGCTTCCGCATCATCGAAACTACCGCCGGTCTGCAGCGCAAGCCACCGAACCTTCACCCTGCAATCCTTTACGCGTCCCAAGACGACGCTGTGCTGCTCGGCAAAGGACCCAAGGCAGAATGCTTCAAGCACCCAATTGTGCCCAACCTCCGACTGATCAAGGACGTACTCTCTCCAGAGGAATGCTCCGCCATCATCGCAGCCGGCGAAACTATAGAGTTCATCCCCGATGCGCCGATGCGACCGCAAGGTGAAGACACTAGTGTGTTAGCACACAACTTCTACTGGATCGTCGACCAAGCATTCCACGACAAGCTCTGGGAAAGAGTGAAGGCGTTTGTGCCGGACAGCGTGGCTGGCAAGAAAGTCCGCGGTATCAACCGACGCTTCAGAGTGTACAGATACGTGCCTGGTGCTGAGTATCGTATGCATATCGGTTCGTAGATTCTGAACAGACCAAAATGATCCATATGCTAACTCTGGCAGATGGCGCTTGGCCACCCTCAGGTATCGATCCCGTCACTGATGCTTACAAATACGATGCGTCGCCAGCCGACGCGCGCCAGTCGTCTCTCTTCACCTTCCTTATCTACCTGAACGACGAGTTCAAGGGTGGAGAGACGACTTTCTTCGTTCCTAGTGTTAAGGAGGGCGTTATTAACGCTTACCCTGTAAAGCCTATCATGGGCAGTGTCGCGGTATTTCCACACGGCGAGGCGCAAGGAGCGCTACTTCACGAAGGCACGGGGGTTGTTGAGGGTGCGAAGTATGTTATTAGAACGGATGTTGAGTATGATGTCGACAGTACAGCCTGAGGAGCTGCGCTTCATGTCGTACTATAGCAGGGACGGCCGCGCAATTTCGCATGATGTCTGCAGAAACACATCACAACAAAAATATCAGAAGGAGGATACAACTCAGTTTCGTGCAGCAGACAGATCCCATATCGTCATTTCCAGTCATCCAGAACGTGCTATGTAGTCATGCTAACCCCCAAGTCCCGACCCAATATCGTTTTCCCCCAAAGAAAAATGGACAAACCACATCATGTGTATAGAACATCGTCACAAGAAAAACCTTGAACCTAGATACCATCAAACGCCTCCCTAGTAGAAAAGCACGGAACCCTAATAAGCAACACCACTAACCTTCCTCTGCGTCATCCCACTCCACCCACCGCCTCTCCCCTCCTCAGCAATTTTCCCACTAACATCTCTCCTGCGTCCCGGGGTACCCAGATCCGACTCGTCAAACTCATACGGGTTGATGTAATCGACACCGGAGCGGCTGACGACGCGCGGCGACTGGCCCTGCTTGGGTGTGTAGTTCGCCTCGCCTGTGCGCTTGATACTCGTGTAACTCTTCTTGTGCAGCGTGAACGGCGAATTGGTCACGTTGTTGTGCGTGGGGACGGGTGGAGGAGTGTTGACGGCGTATTGTTTCGTGGCGCTGGGGAAGTGGTTGGGTTGTTGGCGGAAGGAGCCTTTTGTGGGGGAGGGAGAGTTGGAGGCGCTGCGCACGCCTTCGGTCGCGGCTTGGAGGTTGCCGTAGTACCGCGACTTGGGGGTCCCGGAGCGGGAGTGCGAGCGGTCGAAGGTCTTTTCGGTGGAGATGGAGGTTGTGGTCTTGGTGCGCTGGAGGCTGGGTGGGGGAGGGGAGGTGGCTTTGTAAGGGTCGTAGAAGGTGGCTGTGCCGGGGGGGGATGGCGGGTTTTGGCTGAGGGGGTTCATGCGTAGAGGTTCGGGTGCCTCGGGCTCTTCTTCGTAGTCAGAGACGTCGTCGTAGGGTGAGACAGTGTTGTAGCCGTTGTTCGCGTTTGAGGGAAACATTGTCTGCTTGGGCGCTGGGTAGTGGTCATGGTGCTCGTCTTCCTCGTCAGGATGCACAAACCAGTTGTCGTTCTTCAGGCTTTGCTGGGAGTTGCGCTGGAGGGAGAGATCACCAGTCGCTTCTTGTTTGGAAGAGCGTGCGGTTCCGGGAGGAGTGTGGAAGGATTCCTTCGAGGAGGACGAGGTAACGTGGGATCCGCCACGAGAGTGTCGTTTGATGTTCGCTTGTTGAGAGAGCATAGACTTGCGTTGAGCCAATGTCTGATCGTCTTCCTCATCGTTGAGCAGATCGTCACGGTGGTTGAGTTCTTTGCGGGATTGGTATGCGGAGGGAGGCTGAGAGTACATGGAGAAACGCTCCCTGGATTGGCGAGCTGAAGCAGGTGTATGGGGCGAATACGTAGTCTCCGAGTCTGTTCGCGTGTGCATGAACGCGACCTGGTTCTTGGTAGGGCTAGGAACATCGCTGTAGATGTACGAAGGAGTCTTAGAATCGCGGCGATCTCCAGCAATGGTACTCTGGTCACTGAATCTCTTCTCTTGGTCCGACGTAAGAGGTGTAATGGCTGAGATTGAAGAGTTCTTGTGCTTGTGCTTGGTCTTTCTGCGCGAAGTCAGGTTGTCCTCAAGCGGGTTCATGTCCGGTGGCAGCTTCGAGATCTTCCTGAAGAGGATAGCCAAGTACAGATCAATGGCGGTTGAAAGGACGTGGAGGCCGCCGGTAGCAATTGCGGTGATCCATGTTGTCAACAGGACTATGTTTGTCTCATTGTCTGTAGGGAACATGGTGCGCCACCGCCCAAGTGTTCCGGCATCCATATCGGAGTTGCGACGAGCCATGAGTACGGTGAAGACGTAGAACGGGATAAAGCCGGCGTCGGTAACGAGAGCAAAGAAGTGGTAGCTGGCGGAGCTTCCGGCTGGTCGCGTCTTGGGATTACGGACTAGATGGTATATCGCGTATAGACAAACGATGAGGTCCACACCGGGCTGTTTGTGTTAGCGAAGTTTTAAATGTTGACTGAGTTGTGCATACCGGTATCCTCAAAATGTAGCCCTCTGTATCTTGCGCACCTCGAATGAAGATACCGCACAGCATGATGCCAATTGCGCCAAGCAGAGTGAGGATCTTCAGACTGAACTGGATCCACCGCGCAATGTCGATGAAGACTTTCGTCTTCGGGCTCATTTCCTTCGCGTGTGTGTTACCATACGGAAGGATGAGGTAGCTGTCCGGGTGCTTGTTGAAGTCGATGTAAGGACCTTCCTGCTTCTTCTTCGGTGGTGGAGGAGGCATGCGACTAGCCATGGTGACTGCCTTTGGATTGAACGTCGACCGGGTGGGGTCGGTGTCAATCATGGAATCCCTCGACGCTGCGTACATATGGGGCTGCCAGCGGCCTGCCATTGTTGCGATGGAGAGCGAGAAGTAACGAAGGAAGGAAGTTCTGCTGCACACGACCGTCAGAACAGAAGGTGAGAGACGTCTTCTCGCTTATTAGCAAAGAGATGCAAATGCTGGTTGATAGCTGACATGGGCCCACGCGGGGACCTGGGGTGATATGTATGTAAATATGGGGTTGTCATGACAACAATCAATATCGACCAATGTAGATCCAGAACGGCTCATGACGTGAGGAAGCACGGATGGGACGGGCTTAGGCATTGACTAGTCGCAGCCACGAGCGGCTGAAACCTGTATTAGCCAGGAACATGTGGGGGCCCAATGAGTTGCAGCAAGGAATTGTGGTCAGGTTTGCTTTGTCGGTGGTTTGGGCGGCACGTTGGGCGGAGGAGAGGCCCAACAATACCGTGATCATATCATGGTCAACACGAAGCATTGAATTGGACTTGATTTCGCTCATCATGATTCCAGTGTAAATGTGATGGTCGCGGCGTTGCATGGGTCCAAGGTTGGGTGCCATTGACTTCGGGAGCGCCATCTGGTGGACCTTAGTCATCTCCAAGTTCCTCGTGCGGCGATCGCCGCTATCAGATGCAAGGACCTTCACACCATGCACCTTGTCCGGCACCTACAGAGGACGCCCTATGTTTGCGCTAGCTGCACTCAACGCATATCAGGCGCGTCGGCTCCGATAATACGCGACCATGGTACCTTGAAGCATGCGAGAGCGATCAGCACGATACGATATCGGACAACAAAGCCGTCTCCATACAACAGCGCATCTGCAACACCAAGACCACATCGCAATGCCTACAGCGCGACTGCAAGCGCGCGCGGGCGCCTTCGCGTCGCAATCATCGGTTCGGGACCGGCAGGCTTCTACACGGCATACCGATTAATGAACAAGAACCAAGATGCCGTCGTGGACATGTACGAGCAACTCCCGGTGCCGTACGGGCTTGTCCGCTATGGCGTTGCGCCGGACCATCCAGAGGTCAAGAACTGCCAGGACACATTTGAGGAGGTCGCGCAATCGCCGCGCTTCAACTATATTGGCAATGTGAGAGTTGGACACGATATCGAGTTGGCCAAGATGAAGCCCCACTACGACGCGATACTGTTCTCATACGGCGCAAGTGAAGATAGGCAATTGGGAATTCCAGGCGAAGATTTACCGGGTGTATACTCAGCAAGGTCTTTTGTAGGATGGTACAATGCGCTGCCGCAGTTTCGGAGCCTGGAACCCAATCTCCAAGCTGGCGAACAGGCAGTCGTCATAGGGCAGGGAAATGTGGCGCTGGATGTTGCGCGCATCTTGCTCAGCCCTGTTGACAGTCTACGGCATACCGACATCTCGGAGCAGGCTATCCAGACGCTATCAGAGAGTCGGGTGCGATCTGTAAGGGTCGTTGGCCGGCGTGGGCCAATACAGGTACGTCTCATTATCCGCATGCATTGATATATCGCTTACTGGAAGCCAGGCTGCCTTCACTGTCAAAGAGGCTCGCGAGCTCATGAACATCCCCTCCGTCGCCTTCGAACCAATCGACCGCTCCTTCTACGCACCCGAGATCAAAAAACTCCCCCGAGTACAAAAGCGGATAGCTGAAGTCCTTCTCAAGGGTAGCAAGGCTATTAAAGAGGAAGCGTCTCGGTCATGGGCCCTTGACTTCATGCAAGCGCCCAAGTCTATGCACGCAGACGCCGGCCACCTGTCGTCAATCGCCTTTACGATACAACAATTCGTCACCGACGCCAGTCCCTTCGACCAACGAGCCCGCGTCGCACCTACAAACGAAGAGACATCGCTAGAGGCCTCGCTGGCTTTTAGATCCGTAGGATACAAGTCAACAGGTCTACCTGGTCTGTCTGACATCGGCGTACCTTTCGATGAGAAGCTCGGCATAATACCCAATGACATGCATGGTCGTGTCATCACACCATCGGCAGGGCCTGGCAGCTTGACAGCTGGCCACGTTCATGGGTTGTACTGTGCAGGCTGGGTCAAGCGTGGTCCGACCGGCGTCATCGCCAGTACCATGCAAGACGCTTTTGCATCTGCAGACATTATTGCGCAGGACTGGGAGGCCGATGTACCGTTTTTGAACGATACCAGTGGCGACAACAGAAGCACGGGTCTCGGCTGGGATGGCATCAAAGATAATGTTACTAGTACTAGACCGCTGAGTTGGTCGGACTGGAAGAAGATCGATGAGGCTGAACGGGCCAGAGGCAAGAGCAAAGGGAAGGAGAGGGAGAAGTTCCAGAGCGTGGAGGAGATGCTCAAAGTTTTGGATGCATGAAAACACGTTTTGAGAAATTGTAGACATAAAGTATGCATGGCGTATACATCCGCTATCGGCTTCTCTCCCGCCAGACATGTAGGTGAAGTTGGCAGCTCTTTGAGGTATGCTTGTTGTACATGTTCATGCCTTTTTTTGTCCCTCAAAGACATCAAGATATGTCCATTCTGAACATATTCCTGGTTTTGACATGATGTGTAAGCCCGCAGCTCGAGTCCATTTCCTCAATATTTGGCATATCAGCACCAATGACAAGTTCTGTGCGCGAGCGTTTTTTTTTTGTGCAGGTATGGTGCATGTAGTCCGACGCAAATCATGCATCCGTAATCCATCTGTTTTGGAAAGCAGAAGCTCACATGATCACTGTCTTACTCATTTTTGGAAAGATGTGGTAGAGGTTGATGAGTAGATACTTCTCCAGGTATCGCTGAAAGTTTATATAGCCCGGCGGGCCCACCGATGAGGTTGAGAAGGCACAAAACGGAGAGATGAATCGCAACGTGCCGTCGCAAGGTGCTTTTCTCATGTGCCAATGCCCTAGAGTTTTGCGCGCCCTCCACATGAATCATCGCAGATGCTGGCTTTGCTTTTGGAAACACAGCACGGAGAAGCACATGCCACGGCATTCTTGAATATTTGAAGTTTCGTGTTCTCGCGACGTGTTGGAGAGGAGAACATGTATAAGCTACCGAGCTGATTTTACACGCGCGTGCAGCAACCAGCAGCATGTACGCGGTGGATTGTCTTTCTGGGACATAGAATGTAGCCGCTGCTAGTCGGATACTCGAGGCCCACGAACATGTAAAATAGAACGTCTGGTTTTTCGTTCCGACATAGGTTCCATGCTGCAAATTTTGAGAGGCAGCGCCGCAAAGCATCCGTTGGTTTGATAAAAGTTTTGGGAGAGCAGAGCTCAGAAGAATCGTCATGGAAGAATACGAATCTGATTTTGGAGCAAGGCTGAGGCAGCGACCGACATGGGCTGTATTGAGTTTGTGTTTTGAGGTACCGAGAAAGAGTAGAACATTCCAAGGCTGGATGTTGGGAGACGACCACAGCATGCGATTGCGGGAGGAAGTTTTCGATCTCAGTCTCATAAATGGAAGGCGTCTGTTATTTTGGAAGCAGACAGGAAGGCTGCAGACATAGTCCGAAGCGAATACTGTTTTGGAAATCTTTCAGGGGACTTTGAGTAATGAGGAATGACCCCAGAGTACGAAAGACAGATTTATATACTCGGCTGACGGCCGACAGCGGCGTCGCGGGAACTACCGGGTCTCCGTTTGTGTCCTTGAGTGATCAATCACATGAGCCACGATCATACGCATCACCGCCGAGCTTGGTCACTACGCAAATGGCCTCTCAGAGTGTACTTCAATCGGATCTATTCGTATCTCTATCATACATCATGATATACATGCGGCTTGTCCTGCCTCCAATGTCCCTACGTCCCTTTATCGGTTCCCAAAACCCATGAAACTATCCCTCACAGGTACATTCCCATCTATCGGCCTGCTATACCTACTGCTAACAGTCTTCTGCGTCCTCGTCGTCATGTACAAACTTGGCGGCATTGGTGGAGGCCATAGATCCTGAACAGTGACGCCAGTCATTCTCGGTCCGGTAGCGGCTGCCATCGGGGGCCGGGGAGACAGCAAGGGGTCAAACACACCCGAAGAGGGGCGGCGTTCTCCGTATGTAGTTGACCTGTTGTAGAACTCTTCGTCGCCATAGTTCATACTCTGGACAGGGTATGTGTAGCCTCCAGTTTTGGGATTGTAGATGCCGCGCTCTTGGTAGTTGATCCGCTCTTCGGGTGAGAGGAAATTGTCGTCTTGTACTTCTGGCTCATTGATGCTTCCTTCTTTCCTGAAGTTGAATGGAGTGCTGATGCCGTTGTCTTCGGAGCCTTTGAGCTCTTCGGTCTTTCGTTGTGTGAGCTTGGGTTTGGTGGTGATCAACCTGGAAACCGATATCGGGTCTTTCCTATCGAAACCGAACGTGGCCATCGTGTCGCTTCGTTTGAGGCCACTAGACCCAACAGTCGTTGTTCGAGTTATGCCAGCTGCCTCTTTCTTGGCGATGTGTTGTTCCAACCAGGCTCGAATACCGACTAATGCCGTGGCACTGATTTGTATCATCAAGACTAAGCTCACGAGACCGGCAACGCTGGTCGAGGTTAGTACTGCGTCGGCGACGCAAAGCGATATGGCTCGGAGTGTGGAGAAGCCTTGCAAGAAGGCGAATTGGCCTAGCCCCAATAGTAGTTGGGTACTGATACCACTGATGAGGTAGATGCGTTGTGGTGTTTTCGCAACCGCGATGGGGCCTTTGATACCGGCGAATGCTGCGGGCGAGGGATGTGGGAGTTCTGTACGAAGACGAACGATAGAGAATCCTACTGCTGGGAAAAGGAATATGAGACAGATAAGGCCCATAATGCCATGTGTGTCGCGGAAATGACGAGCGCTTCCCATACCGACCATGCCAAGGACTATACCAGTGATGCCTAGAATGGCGAATGTAATCAAAAGACCCATGCGCCATTTCCTGTTCTTGGTTTCATCGACTGGGAAGCCGGTCAGGACAGAGAACCGCCAGACTACGCCTAGGACAAGGTATAATGGAAGGAAGGTAAGAAATGCGAGACCAGCGAACAGGACGTGTAGTCCGGTAATGACTGCGAATGGGACCAGCGCCAGACCATTGATCTTCACACTCTGGCTTTCGATGACGATCTCGAACATGTTTCCTTCTGATGAAACTGTGATAGGTCCTCGGGGCAGTGCTTGCAACACCGTTGGGTCGAGAGTCTGACCGAGTTGGCCCATCGCTTTGCTCATCATAGTAGCGTTCGCTTTGGCTGCAGCCATGGCACCGAAAGCTGCTGACGCGATGCCGCCGATTCCCTGACATGTGAGAGTGTCGACCAATTTCTGTGCGCCTTTCTGCGCTGTGGCTGGGTCGATAGCTATAGGGAATTGGCCGGTTCCGACTTGAGATTGTCGGGTGGTAATCGGACTAGATGCTACTGCGATGTGTCAGTATATGCAACAACTCAGCCGGTGGCATTTTCTTACCTACACTGGAATCCTCGTGTAACTCTTCAACAATGCTTCTACGTGCAGGAGGAGCCACGTCAGACTTCGACATGCCCTGAGTGAGGTTTCTGACGATCTCCGCAACCAATATCGTCGCTTTGCCTGTCAACCCTCGCGCAAAGCCAACAGCCGAGCCGTTTAGCGTATCGTTGAACTGTGTGGGTGCCAAAACTGGCACATTGTCGTATGCAGTATCCGGTAGATCGCCACTGATCAAGTTCTTGACACCTCCAACAGAATACATCGCGCTCACAACACCTTCGATGCTACCTCTAGCGAGGCCTTCCGCTGCCTTCGCACCATCGATACCCTGCAATGCTTGAGGTGGGTTGTTCGCGATGAACGATTTCGCTTGCTGGATGGCCGTACCATTGATGAGCAGGTTGGAGAACAGGTTTTGCGTGAAACCTTCCGCAGCCAAGGCCGTTTGTTCGTTGTCGCTGTCAATATTACTAGCGATCATTGGCGGAGCATCCACTGCTTTGAAGTTCAATCCGATGGCAATTCCCATGCCTATACCCGCACCAGCTCCAGCAACCATAGGTCGGAGCATGGCTTGGAGCTCTGTCATGTTGGGGAAGGCTGTCATAGACGAAATGTCGAGGTTTGAGAAGTTGCTGCCCTCAATGAATGACTGGCTAAGGCCTCTGGCGAAATGCTTTACAGTTCTCGGAAAGTCTATCGTGTCTGCTGTAGGATCCACAGATTGTCGCTTCTGATTCTCAGATGCTGATGGCTGCGATGCTGTCAAGCCCAAGCCGTTTCTTGCGCCTTCTCCTAGGCCCAGCCCAGCTGCTGCCGCGATCTTGGGAAGATTCTGCATGAAGCTCGAGACACCGGAACTGTTTCCCAAACTCTTGATAGTGGCTCGAAGGTCAATGTTGGATACAATCGGCATTGCAACCCCGAGACCGAAATTTCCAGCTAGACCCTCAATGCTCGGATCAGATGAAGGTACGAAACGTTGCTCTGTCAGACCAAAGCCTACTGCAGTCGCATTTCCGATGCCAGATGCCAAGGCAAAAGCTGCAGGAGCGAGAGAGAAATTGTTGCCATCGAAGGAAGGGGTGATTTGCCTCGATAGGCCGTTGCCAAGTTGCTGAGCGGCGAGGTTCGCACCACTTGCTGAAGCGTTGTAGGCGGTGGCGATGCTCGAAGCTATCGCGTTAGCTTCCTCCATGTCGGTCAGGTTGAGAGCAGTCGTTGTACCCATGCTGCTAATGGTTAGTCTGTTCGTTGTGGTGGGCGCCTACGTACCCTAGACCTATACCTAGAAACAAAGCGGGTGTACCAAGGGAGCCCACCATCAAGTCTCCTAGGCTGCCCAGTACACCGGCCAATCCACCTGTCAGATTGAACCCGCCTATACCACCAGCACCCGTCAAATCTCTGAAAGTACTACTGATATCATCCTGCAAGTCCCTCCTCTTCAGTTCTGACCCCTCTTTCGACCGAACGTGCTTGATACCATCCGTGAGATTGGCGCCAAAGTTCTGGAGACTTTCCGAACGAAGCTTCTCACCGATATCACTGGAAGATAGTGCGATAGCTTCTGTGAGTGACAGTAGCGCACTACGCAACCTTACGTCTTGGTTGAGCGCATCGATGGTCTGTATAGAGAAGATTGCTGTGAGGCTGTCTGGGTAATGTTCGCTAGCGAATGATCCCCTCGAGCCGAACCAAAAGGCAGCCGATGAGTAAAGCAAAAAGAAGGCCGTAAAGCATGCCAGTAGGTGCCAGACCGGCCTTTCAGAAGCAAACGCAAACATTATTATAAGGAAGTAGTGGGGTATCTCAAATACATGTGCAAGAAGAAATCAGAAGGCGAAGGTGTCAATGGCGGTGGCCTGCCACAACACTCACTCAGGAACCAAGAGTAGGCGCCCGGCCAAGAGCCACAGCGATACTATATGTCGAGCAGGGTGGACATGGTGATGCTGTCCGGGGTGCCGTTCTTGAAACATCCTAGACGTAGAACTAGAAACGCTAGAAACATCAGAAACATGCCCACTTCATGTCGTACGTGCAGCATATCAAAGAGGCGCATTATGCGCTGGGGCCTGTTACTCCGTAATACTGACACTTGCGTGAGGATCGCATTGCTGTGGGTCGAGAGCTGCTCGCAGTGAAGAAGTCTTACTGTTGAACAGGTCAGAGGAACATTTCTCTAAATCGAAGCCATCTAGCCGCCCGCATGATCGCAAAACCCAACTGTGGTCGAGACCATCTCTCGACGTCGCACAGGGTGCTGAAGGAGCAATAAAACAGCATTGCAGTGGGCTTTACCTCTCTGCCGGGCTGTCCTAGTGGATGTGATCATCCCGCGACCGGCCCGTTCGGTAATGCGACGATCTTGAAACATCAGACATTGGCCAATGACCATAGATGATATTGAAGCTGTGTGATGAGCATTCTAAACGGCCAGTCAAGGTGCGAACAATGCCTGTAATGCTGGCGAATGGTAGTTGTCGAAGGACAAGAAGCGTGTGCCACCGAACATTGCGGTGAAGGATACCTTCGCGAGCTCCGATGCTGAGGCTGCGTTCGTGGGTTAGCGCCTGTGGAGCATGTGAAGTACCAGATTTGCATTCGTGGCACGCGCGACGAAGCCGCGTTCTCTGTGACACGTGCAGACAGCTCTCCTGAAGCCGCAGGTGCTTGACAGTTCCCTGGTCATGTTACTCAGGCTGAGTAAGATTCGGGAGTATCAGTGTCTATAGCGTTCGAGCTCTCAGATTGAACGGGGCTGACACGATTGCGATGCTCATTCTTGGAAACGCGATGGTTGGAGGAGGTTGTGGATAAGTCGACTGAACGTGTGAAGATGGAAGGAACACACGCGTCGCGTGTTGAGCAGCAGCTGACTAAGCGCGTGTCGGCTGATCTTCGCTAGGACGCCGCGCGCCTTCCCACGTTCTGCATCCTTTCCACAACACGTAAATAGGCAGCCACCTCTATTGCCCAGAGATGCAGTGCACCTACGATCTACTACACACGTCTTTTTTACAGCGATCCGAGCTGTTCAGAACGTTCTCGATCGCCCCGCCCACTATACGCCTCTGGCTCGGGTACAGGAACCGGAAAGAGGGCTTGTTCGTTCTAGGCCCAACTTCCTTTCTGTCAATACTTTTCGGCCGCTTCTGTGTCTGGTCTGTCACTACACGAATGTGATTCGTACTCTGCAGACAGCCACAGTTTTCAGTGCGGGTGATCTGCCTTCCCGCCGCGGAGTTTTAGCGCGACAGTTACCGCAAATGTGAACTCCACACAAGCATGCACTACCTAATGTAGCGGTCCTTTCCCCCGCCCTCTACCAAAGAACAACGCGGGCCATGACTATTGCCAAGCATACTTCACATCTCAGCTCACTTCTTGAAAGCTTCACCCGTCCATAGATCATTCCCGCCACTGTCGGCTTCTAAACTAGGAGCCACTGCTGGACGGTGTGCCGTCTCCGAGTGGGCCAGAGCTTTGGCCAAGCACAGACGGTATTTGCCATGCTGATGTCGTTCACAGGGTATGAGGCAACACTTGTGGCCATCTTTTGCTACCGTTCTTGGCTCAGCTTCTGGTGGAGAGGCTTTGCCAAGAGCGGCAGTGGAGCCTAGGCGAATGACGCGGAAGAAACGCAAATAGCCAGGAGAGACTCAAGATGCCTTCATGAATCCAATGGAGACTCAAAGGCGGTCTCGCGATCTCTGCATACCTGGTCGTCTCTCCATGAAGAGGAACATACACATTGAGTCTCTTAACCTCTTTCAACCGTCGGAAAGGGCACCCAGAATGCTTCGTAAACCTTCAGCTTCATTATAACGTCACTACCAAGTCATGATAGAAGTGGCTTAGGTCAGGATCATCTTTTCTAGAAAAGCTTGGTTCAGCTTCATGCCTGCATATCGGTCTGGACAACGCCATGGCCTGAGCCGCAACATCGTGGCTTCACTGTCGGGATACACATCTTGCTTCTCACTGGAGAGCCTACTGTCGGACCTCGTAGACCCTAGTGTACTGCACATGAGAGACATTGGATTGTACCTCCAGCATTTGAAATACAGAACTATATAAGAAGGGCTCAGATCATCGGCATACATCTCCATCAGCTTCAATTTCAACTTCAACGTCCACGTTCCAATCTCCAAGATCAGCCAACTTCTAACCAAAATGTCTCTCTTCACTTTCACCTCCGCTCTTCTTACAGCCGCCGTGGCCATCACCTCTGTCCAAGCATCGCCATTCTCCGGGCTCGACACACGCTCCTTCAATGGACTACTAGCCCGCGATCTATCCGGCAAGATGTGCAAACCTTTTGTCTACGGAGCCAAGCGCGATCCAGTGGGTGACGTCTGCGTATCATTTGCCGGGGACTCCCTAACCGTCACCTACCCTGACCTTTCCTCGGTCGGAGGAAGCTATGGAGATCTCCACGTCATCATTCAGCCAACCAAACCCTCAACCACAGCCCCCGGGCAGTGGCCATACAAGCTCGACAATGGCTACTGCACAACATCTGGCACCTGCACCATCCCCATCCTTGACACTTGGCGGGCGTGTGGCTTGGACCTGTACATCGGTATCCATGCCGCCTTCATCCCCAAGACAGGATCAGCCAGCGAGACTGGCTACGCAAATGGAGACTGCATTGATCCCAAAAACAGCGGCAACTGCGCAAAGTACTTCGTCTTCAAGACCGAGTGCCAGTGTGTGGAGGTTACGAAATACGAGGAAGTCAAGACTTCGGTACGTATCTTCTCTCACAAGCAAGGTGCTACGTGCTAATAAATTCGAACAGGCTGTTTACGTTAAGACAATCTATGAGACAAGCACAGTGTACTGCAGCACTACCCCTCCTGACGCAACTGCTACAGCTACTTGTAATGATGCCAAGGTCGGAGCAACAAAGGTTAAGACTGCGACGACGGAAGTTAAGGACTTCGCTTGCTCTACCCCGGCTTGGTAAAGATGAAAGAGAAGCTTCTCCGATATGGTATCGATCTGAAGCACTTAGGCGCAATAACCAAGGATGGACTAGGGTTTGATTGATACTCAATGTACTGTAGAGCTCACACTCCTTACCAGACGCAAAACAATTTCCTGCAATGACTCCCGGAATCTTTCTGCGACTTATTGCATGGTATGAAGTGATCTCGCATTCCTGTAACAACAGCTGGTACTTGATATCATATCACTCATCTTGCCTCGCATGATACAGCGCACGCATACCCTTACCCGACCCAAAACCATGAGCCACCTCCGAGTCATGATCTACTGAATCAGCATCAGCATCATCCCATTCTTCTTCATCCTCATTCTCATCCCCATCACCAATAACAAACATATTCTGTAGCTTCTCCAATTGCTCCATATGATTCTCAGACATCGTCTTCCTTTCTTGAGCAGCACTCTCACGCATGACAAACGAGTCTTGATGCTGAATAGTCGTCCATGACTTTTCTTCTTCTACTTCAACGTCCGTTCCACGTTCCAAGCCCGCAGGCTTCGTACCTGCAGGTAAAGCGATAGCTATGGCTACACGGTTGATGATGTCTAGCGCTGAAGGCAGTGGACGATGGTACGGAGGTATGACTAGGTTACCGATGGTTTCGAAGTGGCTGAGGAGGGAGAAGCGAGTGTCGGGTATGGAGAGACGTTGGGATTCTTCGTCTGTGGTAGTGAAGGCTGGGTTGGAACGAGAAGACTTGCGTCGGGAGAAAGTGTAAAGTCGGACCGGGTGGACGAAGACAAGAATTAGGAAGATGGTTATCAAGACAGCGCCTGCGCAGCTCGACACTATGGCACCGATTCGGTTGTGGGTCAGTGTCATGAGTGTTGGCCGGGGTAACGTTTGTGAATATGATAGCTCGAGGGGTTTTGGTGGGTTGAGATGAAGCATTGAGATAGAATTCATGTTGATAAGCTGGAGCGACCGTGTGTTGAACGTCTGGAGATGTAACCGCACAGTGATTGCCTCTTGGCCACATTGCGAGCCCAAATAACTTCTGGGAGTACGGCAGTGTCTAACCGATTCGACCAGTGGACCTCCTATACTGAGTTGCAATTGGTATGTCCGTGTCTAAAGTGAGGACGGGTCGTCGAGCCCGTTGCAAACTCCGTTCGATCTCCCGCTGGCGTTCTTCATTGGCCTTTCTCCGACGTCGATGTCGAAAGTAGCTTATGACTCCGATGACAATAGCTAAGATAGTTGCAGAGCCTAGTATGGAAACTATAATGATGATCGACTGGTTGGAGATGCCTTGAGGTTGCAATTCTTCGACTGACGCTTGAGCGGATGCATCAGCCAAATCGGCTTCTTGGATATGTGAGGTGAAACTTGATGTAGCCATCTTTTGGTAAAGCAGATGACATTTGGAATTGTGATTATGGTCTTCCAGAGTAGAGCAGGATTCTATAACAACCAAGAGCATGGCCGTGTATCGTCTTTGTTTGAAGAAGTTGCAGGTGACAAAGCCGTCAGTGCGCTTCGCCCAGTTGTACCACCGCAGATCACATTGCATACAAAGACGATGTACAAAACGTACTAATGGCGAGATTGATGCTGAGAAGTGATGGCCTGTTGCATCGATACATACTCAAAATCCTACTTCGTCTTTGAATTTCTCCCACTGCGTTTGTCGAGCTTTCTTCTGCTCTTTGGCAATCCGCTTCCAGTGGGCTCTATAATCTTGAATGAACACTCTCGGCTTCCATCCTCTTTGCATCTCCTTGCGACGCTCTTCCCCGAGCAGATTTTTCTCGGCATTGTAACGCTGGAACCATCCTAGATGAGTGAGGCGGTCGTGAGGCTGAGGCGAGCTAGTGACAGAAGAGACTGCAGGCTTCCACCACTTGCGCAAAGCCCGGAGATGGTGCTGGAAAGGTGTCTTGCGTGGCGGTGTGTTAGTTACCGGAAGTATTGATTTCTTGGAACGACCGAACAAGGTTCGTATTAGCTTTCGTGAAAGCGAGAATGCAATGACGAGAATCACGGCAAGGGTAATCGGAACAATTATCAAGGACCTGCGCTCGATCTTCCAAACATTTCGCGTCGACATGATATGCGCTTCAGTTTCGGTAGATTGTGAGCCTGAAATGAGGCTGAGATATTGGGTGATGTACTGTCAGAATGAAATTGCGGTGAGCGATTCCGTGATAAGGTCGAGACAAAGAGGAATTTCGTGCATGGACAAAGCGATCCAATCAGTATCTAGGCGCTAGTAAGTCTACAATGGTTGGGTGGTAGTAACCTATGTGCAAAAGCAATGATGGAGAACGAGTGGACAACATTGTTCACGATGTTTTCCCGTCGTATGGCAGCGGTCTGAGGCGTGGTGTGATGGATGCAAGTAGCGGTGGCGAGCGCGTGATGATGAGCCAACCAACGACGTCATGAAATCCTCCATATTATCAAGGCCTCTGCCGCCCGATCCCGCAACCTTCATCGCTTCTTCCACCTTTGTTTTTGACCGATCGCATCAGTATCATGTCTGGTAACGCCTCGGAAACTGCGGTGGAGAAGTACCGTTACGAAATTCTCTTCGGCGCCTGGCTGGCCGTCACGGGCGCGACATTCCTCCGCATCAAGCGTCAGCCCTACTCGACCCGTCTGAAGATCGAGCAGTACGAGAGCATCTTCAAGGGCACATCGCTCAGTGCCGTGCTAATCGGGATTGGCATCACACCTGCGCGGACGACAGCAAGGCGATTCAGCGGGAATTGAGCGGAGAGGCTCGCTGTTGATGCTCCGCAGAGAACGGGTGGAGAGGTCGCGTCTGGTTGGCCTTGGCGCTTCCCCGCAACTTTCACATGCGAACACCCGTCATCGTTCCTTCCTTCTCCACCACGGGTCGCCATCATGTTCCTTCGACTGGGCTCATCCAGCCTTGAGCTCAGCCTGTGGAACCCCGTCTATGCCGTCACGCCCTTTATCCTGCTCTCCGTCTCTATCCCGCTCGCCTTCTTCGCCGTCGTCACCACCTCAATCGCCGTATCGCTCCTTTCCTTTCGCGCATTAACCGTATATTGCCGTCTCGCCATTGCAATCATAGGCGCATGGCTCTCTCCGTCGGCTTCGAAGCCAGTTCCGCTTCGGGCTCCTCTTATACCTTCGTCCGCCCGACACTCCCCGACTGGGCAGCGCCATCGTCGAACAAGCACGGCTAGCACGACATCTTCGCAAGATGCAGCTCTACACTCGGCGCATACGTCACGTCTCCTGAAACATAAGAACAACTCTCTCACGGCGCTCATTGGTACAAGCGAATTGACGCGTGACTTTGAAGGCGTGGGAGGGTGGAGAGTGCCGGGTGACGACGACGAAGAGGCGCTGTGGATGGGCATCAACTCACGGCTCCAATTGCCTGCGGAGACGCCTACTCGGAGGCATGCGCGGAGTTTGACAGGCGGTGCAAGCCCGGGCCAGAGGTGGAGTGCTGGATCAGAAGCGTTTCGCATGAGCCCGGTGCAGAGCAGGGCAAGGACACCAGTACGCTCTGCCGTCGAGGATGGACCTGGCTACTTCCCTGTGCAGCCCACCTCAAATAGTCGGCGTGGTAGCGCCGACTCCGAGACTGCCAAACAACACAACAGAAGGAAAAGTGGCAGTGGTAGCAGCATGTCAAGTACTGCCTCCGGTCTGGCTATCACGATGAAGGAAGCTGGCAAATGAGCTATCTCCACGGAATACGCTTCTCTCCTGAAGCTCACTCCATCTCGACTCTGCAAGCAGATAAGAGATCGATCCTTCGATTTACCTAGACTACAAATCATGCCGCACTGAATATGATAACGACCTTAGATACCCCGAAAGCGATTCACGCATCATCTCAAACGAGCGTGCGTCTACGAAACCGAACCACCTCTCTCACTCAAGAGTCGACTGTGACGCTTCCTCGATACGAAGAACCGCCGTCATACACTTCAGTTGGCGTCTCATTCGACTTTGAGGATATAACGAATACATGATTACAAGGAGCCGCCTGTGGAGGAGAGAACGATATCACGTGCTGTATACGTCGACGTTGCCGATCGACAGCTAGTCGCCCCAAAAGTACTGTATACCTTCTCGCTAGTACATAGCATCTTTATTTTCAAGGTTTTGCAGCTATGTAGGTTTTAGACTGGCGATAAGATACCTTCTTTCGAACGAGTGTTCTTTTGGTCCTTTACAATTCGGCCTCGAGATCAGTGAGAAGGATTTGGAGGATGCCCTTGGCATGCAGCTGCCTACATGGGTTTGCAGCAATAGCAATTTACTTCTCATATAAAGTCAAAGCCCCACATGCGTATCGCAGTGATCGTCGAGTACGGTACTGCCAGCGTTCTCAAAGGCTAAAATGAAGTCGTACGACATCTGGTCAGGACCCGAGGGAGTGACTCCCGGGCCCCGCAGCCATGACACCGATATTGGCTGTTCACTCAACAACATGTGATCGTGGGTCTGGTGCGAGAGACGGCAGGCAAGGACGGAAAGCAGATATCTAGAGTCTACATTTTCTGTATGCTCACGTCGTGTATATTCTTGACATCTCATCATTCCCATCTTCATTTCCAACACCACCTCTCAATCCCACAACCATGCGACCAACCCTCCTCCCGCTCCTCCTCCTCGCCCGCCATATCTCCGCCCAACCCCCCTTCTTCAACATGACCATCCCCCCCATGCTCCGCTTCCAATGCTCCCAACTCGTCGTCGAGCGCCTCGACCCCCTCGTCACCCCCTCCCTAATCCCCTCCCCCCACCTCCACCAAATCGTCGGCGGAAACTCCTTCACAGCCTCCATGCCCCCCTCGCACGACCTCGTCACCGCCTCCACATGCACAAGCTGCACTTTCTCAGAAGACTTCTCAAACTACTGGACCGCAGTCTTGTACTTCCGCGCTCGCAATGGCACGTATAAAAGGGTGCCGCAGTCTGTTAGTGAGGGGCTGAAGGGCGCGGCGGGGATAACGGTGTATTATACACCTGATACGAAGAATCAGACTGGTGTTACGGCTTTTAGACCGGGGTTTCGCATGTTGGTTGGGGATGCGACGGCGACGGAGAAATCGGAGGCACGGAAAGTGTGTTATAGGTGTATGCCGGAGACGGGTGATAACATGAATCTTAACTGCGCGGCACCGGATGCACAGACACTGCCCACGGGTTTCTGTCCGGGCGGTATTCGCTCTGTTATCACTTTTCCAACTTGTTGGGATGGCGTTAATTTGGATTCTCCGGATCATCAGAGTCATGTGGCGTATGCGGATGGGGCGGGCGATTACGATGTCGGGCCTACGGGGACGTGTCCTGAGTCACATCCTGTGGCTATACCGCAGGTCATGTATGAGGTTATGTGGGATACGAGGAAGTTCAACGATGAGGGTTTGTGGCCAGAGGATGGGAGTCAGCCTTTTGTGCTTAGTACCGGTGATAGGTGAGTTCATGTTTCTCCTCCTCGAACGTTGATCGAGTCTAACGGGTTGCCAATACAGGAATGGGTTCTCGCAGCATGGAGACTACGTGTTTGGCTGGAAGGACGACTCACTCCAGCGTGCTATGAATGCGCGCTGTACGGGTGATGTGTGTTCGGTGTTGGACTCGCAGACTACTGAAGAGGCGATGAAGTGTACTATTCCGCGGACTGTTGATGAGGACGTTGATGGTTGTAAGTTGTGCAGTATTATTTTACGAATTCTGCTTGACTAACTACTCGCTCTAGGGTTAGCTGAGCTTCCTGGAGGTCTTATGAAGGTTTGACGAACTGGGAAAGTGCGTCTTTCGATGGGGGAGAATAACTCTATGAACGCATTTACGACACCAGGGTTGGCTAGAGTTCGTGTCGCATCCTTGGGATGTTATCAAAGTTGCAGTATACGTCGTCTTAGTAACGACTTACTTGTTAAGACTCAAATGTTTTCATGCGACATGGAAGGTTTAGAATTCCGTAATGTAAGCTATTCAGCGCATCCATCTCAGCGCTAGAAAGTCTGACTCACTCAACTGCGTCGCAATGATAGTCGACAATTTGCAATGCTCGTATCAGCCACTGCAGGAACCCGCCGCGAATCCTCTCCCCACTAATCAACGCTATGCTTGCATTCACCTTCGTTCCCTTACAACGCGTCACAAAGACGACGTTGTGATAGTCGAATAATGCCAAGCAATAACACTCCCGCTTCTGTCCAAATGACAACATGGCTTCCAGAAGGGGCTTCGCCGTGCGCACGATACCTTCGCCATTCGTGAACATAAGGTCCGGCTTCCGGAGACCCCAATCGCCGGGTACGATCGTGCCGGCAGGAGCAAACTGAACTATACCAACGAGCTCCTTCGCGTTGCGTTCGCCGGTCTTGCGCACATACCAGGTGATGGCGTCGGGAACAATATCGTAGCTGTGTTTGAGGGCCGGAGAGTGGTCCTTACCGGCAATGACCAGAAAGTCGATCAAAGTGAGTTGTGAGGATTTGAGGACGCCTTCCGGTGTGGCGATTGCGGAATCGTCGACAGTATGGAGTGGGCTGTCTCCCACTTTGACGAGGTTGCCATCAGGGGTTGTGTAGATTTTGAATGCACAGCCACCGTACTGGGCGCCGAACGTGAGTAGCGCGCTGCTTACCTCGCTATTGTCAATATGTTTGTCATGTAGGAAACGTTGCGGCGGAGGCTCCAGAGCCGCGGCCTCCAGATTCGAGTCCTCAAGCGCGTATCCCACAAGCGGTTTCAACATCTGCACGTTTGTGTTTCGGATCGCCTCCCCTAGCCACATAATGAGCTTGTAGCGAATTTCATCCGACCATCCCACGAATAGGGTGACACCTGACCGGGGTTTATCGCTGAATACGAACAAAATCAGATGCGCACCGTCGTAGAAGCCAATCCGATCACATCCGAATTTCAGACGAATGTTGGCGGCTGCCGTCCCCAGAGTGTTGGTCCGTTCTTGGTGTCTTGACACGTGGGCAATGCTGTCGCCGTCGTCGTCCTTTTTCACGATATCAAGACTTGAGTCGTTGGGCCATCGAATGACAATAGCGATAGGATCGAGTACATCATCCGCTTTGATACACCAGGCCATTGTATAGGGTTGGCCAGCGTACCATTTCGAGAAGTGAATGCGATCGCCGTAGTACTGTTTGATGATGTCGTTGGGAATATCTACGAGTTCCGTCAAGGTGAAAGTAAGGTCGGGAATGCTGTTCACGTCGCGGAGATGGGGATGATACACGATATCGGTGTCGTCAGAATTGGACGGGTGTCCTTCGCGAGTCTCATTCTGGTTGGCGTCGTTGGTCGATGTTGATGGCGTACTTGGCTTTGTCTCAGCTCCCGTGGAAGTGTCCGCACTCTGTGTTGATGGTGTATCTCCGACAAGCGTCTCTGTGGAGGAGTCCGAATCGGAAGCGAGGGTCTTAGCGAGCTCATCCACTTCAGCCCTCAGAGAGCGCAATTTGTCTGTGATGGAGCATGATGAAGCCTCGGGTGAGTTGGAGGACATGATGTCGACTGCGAAGACATAAATTCGAAGGTGGTGAGAGAAGGCAGGGTGAGGGTCGGTTTGTTGACACCACAATGAAACTAGCGCGGGTGGGAGTGGAAAGAGCCCTTCAGGGGGCTAAGGTATACCTAAACACCACGTGCTAACGTTCCTAGGCAGTTGCGACCATCTGGCCACTCGAATCCCTCGTCAGCACACGTCTCATGATCTCTACAAGATCAATATCGACGTTGAGCCACCATTTTCTTTGCTCTTCTGGGGAGAGCAGTGGCACCCCTCCTTCCGTCTTTCTCTTTTCCAATTTCGGAAAGCACAGCCACAGAACCAAGAGAGCTGCGAGAACAGCCAGAATGATAGGTTGTAGGACACCAAGGCCTTTTGTTTGAGCAAGCGATCCGATAGCAAAGGGTAACGCAGCACCTCCGCCAACACCTATCGCAGCAGCAAAGCCTATCGCAGAGACATGGAGATGTGGCGGAAGAGCTTTAGTCGCTGCGACGATGACAGCTGGAAAGAGCGGACCGAGGAAGAAGCCTTGTAGTGCGACAAAGATGGCTGAGACGTGGAAGGATGGAACGAGCCAGAACATGAGTTGGCATGTGATGGCGATAACAAAGTATATCTGTCGTGCAATTAGCTTATGCAGGTTCCATTCCGATCTTGACCGTACCAGGACAGCGAGCTTCTCGCCAAGCTTTGGTGTGATGAAGCTCAAGACAAGGCGGCCGGCAGCGATGCCAGTCCAGAATCCGGTCGCGACAATGCCAGATTCGAATTCGCCACCTGCTCTTTCCCGGCGCATGAAGGTAACAATCCAGCCTCCAAGCGCTCCACCGGCTCCGACATACCCGAAAAGGAAGACAGCGGCAGTCCAGGTGACGCGACTTCTGAGTGCCTGCTTAAGACGGCTCTCACCTTCCGCATTCGCGCGAAGCGATTTTTCTCGATACACTTGACCTGAACTCGATCGGAATGCGTAAAGCGATGTCGCAAGCTCAATGCAGGCGCCACCGAGCTATTTAAGGTTAGCAACAATGTATTGAGTGTCCTTGGCGACTGACCATGATGTAGTAGAACTGATACCATTGCCATCCACGCTTCGCAATCAAGCTAGCAGCAGCTAGCGGGCTAAGCAAAGCCCCCAGCCCATATAGCCCATGCACAGATCCCAGAACCTCGTTCGCATTCGCTAGACTGCCTGCCCACGCGTTCCAGGCTGCGTCTTCAATGCCGTTTCCAAATCCCGAGAAGATGAACAAGATCACCAAAACGGGGTATGGCGGATGGAGGGCAATGCCTACGTAGGCCACTAGATGGCAAACAGGTCCAAGGAAAGCAATGCCCCGTTGACCAAAGTGGATGTGCAGCCAGTTGTTGAGAAGTGCAGCACTGATATATCCGCCCATCGGAGATAGGAACACTAGCGAGACGACAACATATGTTAGATCGTAGTACTCCTCAAGGTAAGGAATGATAGCCTGCGTAACGTCAATAGTGTCCTTGTATACGAAAGGATTGTATTGCTTACACCGTATGCGGCATCATTTGCGCCCATGATAATGAACGCGAAGAGAACAGCGAATGTGCGGGATACATTGGCCTTTGGATGGTTCCATCGCTCAGTTACTGATACTGTCGTTGATGGTTGGGGAAGGAATGTGGCTGACTCGATGCCGCTGCTTTTTCGGTCATTGTGTTTACATCCTTGGTCGCGTAACGTCGCCGGTGCTACATGTCGCAGTTCGATACTCGCCTGTAGCGCATTACCTGGAAGTCGATTGGCGCTTGCATCTGTCTGTGTTATGGTGTGAGTAGACGACATGGCTACGAACACCGAGCAAAACAACGAGCCGCGCGGGACGATGAAGTTCGACTTCTGACGAACGGTGAACAAATATGAGAAGTTACTTATAGGTTCCGTACGTTGCCCGTGTCTTGCACTCGGAATCAGTCACCATACTGCAACACCCGGTCACGCTTGGCACTACCATACCGAAAGCGGAAATGCTTGCGAGGACCTGTGTGGGAACACATTCATATGCAGAAAACCCAGATCTTTCGCAGACTCGCTAGACACATACATTGATACGTACAACGAGTTAAGTATACTGTAAATTTGGCAGTTCTGGTTCGTTGGAGAACCCGGGCCTGCGTCATTCCATGGATCAATGCTTTATCCAGGGAAAGGATAGACAGCCGGACTCTTGTACCCGTTCGTACCGACGGCCCTCACACCGAATATGACATTGTCCTTGCTGAGAGGAAGGACAACTGATCCAACTTTGCCAACATCGAGCATGCGAGTCCACAGGCTCGCTGTAGTGGCTCGCCACACGATTTCGTAGCTCGCGACATCTGTGCTATTGGAAACAATCCACTTGATGCGCGAGTCGTTGTCCAGAACTGTCGTGTCGATGGTGACGTTGCGTGGCATGCCAGGAGCCTGTGAGAGGGACCAAAGCGTGGCGAGATTGACCTTGCCAACACGTGCTGTGAAGTCAAAGTCGACGAACTCAATTAGGTCGCCATAGACGGTGCCGTTCTCGGTGCGCAAGTCTTGATGCTGATGAGCGAAGTTCTCGTTAGGCTCCGTATAGCGGATAGCAGGGTAACCCGCTTGAAGGAATCCAGTGTGGTCACCTCCACGCAAAAAGCGGTCCAGGCGGTAGATGATGGCTACGTTCATACCGGTGGCATTGTTGGCAGCGACTTCAGCTGAGAAGCGCGCAAGCTCTCGTGCAGGGCTATCGTTTTCGCCACCGATTTGGAGGCGTCGCGCTGCTGTGACGTTGTTTTCGGCCGAAAGAGGCGGAACACCTTGAGCGAAAGCGCGAATGGTGTAGGGGTCTTTCTGACCGCGATCTCCAGTTGAGGAACCGACAATGTCGCAGTTCAGCATGCCTTCGACATTCGTGCTAGAGTTCTTAAGTGTTTGTGCCAGATAGGTTGAGCCATATAGACCCTGCTCTTCGCCAGATACAGCACCGAGGATTATTGTTGACTTGGGCTGATGCTTGGCAAGAACACGCGCAATCTCCATCGCAACTTGTATAAGTCAGCTTTGATCCTGTAATAATCTTTCCAAGAAACACATACTAGCAACTCCACTCGCGTCGTCGTTGGCACCGGGAGAGTCGGCATCGTAGTTGAGCACGTCAGTGACCCGACTGTCAATATGTCCGGTCATGACATATACCCTGTCGGGAGTCTCACTTCCCTTGGCAGTCGCAAGCACATTCGATATGTACACGGGAAAGGGGATTCTGCTGGCTATTCCTTGCAAATAGCTTTGCACCTCGACCGTCATCGTGCCGTTGCTGTCCGCAGCATATTTTCGCATCTCGGAGGCTACCCAATCCCTCGCTGCATCTACTCCGCGCGTCGAGCTGTTGTATGTGGCAAGGGTATGGCGGGTTCCGAACGATACCAGTTTGGTGATCGTAGCCTCGATGTTTGCTGAACTGATTTCATTCACGATAGCTCGCATCTCATCGTCTGGTGCTTGCGGAATCAGCTCCACGCCGACATTGGACGGAGGCCATACTGCATTGGCACAGTCGGTATATGACTCCGCGTTGGCAGCCACCGGTAGTGGGAGATCGCGACCGAAAAGAACCTCGTGCGCGTAGGCGTTGGAGAGCAGCGCACTTCCGAATAGTGCTGATCGGAGAAACATAATGACTGCGATGAAGAGATGGCCATCCGACACAAAGCTCGCAAATTGGCTTCTTATATCGAAAATGGAGATGGGCCGTCGCCCAATGTGCGAGACGGCACATTATGGCATGGATCCGCATATCGGAAGTGGTCTACAACGAACTTCCCATGCCAGTTAGCACACTGGGTCTGCAGTGGGTGCCCATCATCATTTTCTGCGATCTCTTCTCGAGATGCACCTGTTCCGCGGCTCGGCAAGCGTAAATACCCAGCCCTGCTACTTGCCGACAGGGTAGGAGATTACCGAATTAGGCAGGTGGAGAAGGAAGAACGACGTCAACCACAGATGATTGAAGGCTTGACAAGGCCAGATGAACGCCGATAAGGAGGAGGGCGCAATGCAATGACTAAGGGTAGAACGGAGAATAACCACTAGGCGGAACTGACGACTGTGGCTTGTGCGGGCATACTGTCACCGCAGCCTGCATGGCTGGGTAACATAAGGATCGCAGACCGCAATTACTGATCAAGTCCAAGGACGTTGGATCTTCATGTCCTGTGGTTGGCCACTTATAGAGGTAGTCGCGATGTCGTCCAGGAATCCAGGGCGGGGGTACCGTAGTCCAGGCGGTTCAGACTCCGGCCAGGATCTGCTGTCTGCATCGGACATGAGTATCGGCAGCTTTGCACGAAGCTGTAAGGGCAAGCTGCAAGTTTATATGCATCGTGGTAGAGTACCCAGATGTCATACCATGGAGAGTGAACTGGAGGGAATCCTACGACGCTGCTAGCGCTGATGCGCTAAAAGCTTGGCAACTCAGGGTCCAGCAGTCGGAGTTCGCGATGATGCAATGTGTCAAGTCGCGAAAGTCTGCCTACAAGGCTACAGTATAACGCTCACCGTAACAGCCCTCACACTACATCTCCGATCTATACTGAAGTAATTCGTCCACTTCAAACCGACGAAAACCCTGATACTCCGCGATGGTACGCCTCATCTACTCATATTGCTCAACACAAACTTACGTCGCAAACAGAACGCGCTCTTCAACAACGCCTTACGGCAATCGACATCGATACGAAAAGACTTGGACCAGTTTGCCGACTCAGCCTCGCCATCACCACATCTCCAAGCCCAACTAAACGCGTCCCTAGCCACCTTTGCGCGCACCATCGACGACTATGGCAAGCTTGCAAAGCAAGAGCCTGTGCAAACCAAAGCAGAAAAGGCACATGAGAGGTTAAAGAACTTCCGGGCTGAACTCGAAGAGTACCGGACAATCTTCAAGCGCATAAAAGGTGTAAACGAGGAAATTGTACGTTTCGAACCGACGCTAAGACTATCGTTTTGTCATTGCGAATGCCTTTGCTGACTAGGAACAGCAAACCACAGAGGCGCGAACAGAACTGCTAGGCCGTCGTCCGCACAACACAGCAACCCCCGAAAACCCCTATGCACAACCTAACCTATCTGCCCAACATTCGGCGTTCGCACCTTCCCAACCCTACAACCCCAACGCTCCCTACCGACCGAACCCCTATTCTGCTGGCGCACCAGCGGGTGGCGACTACGACCGCGAGGGCCATGTGCTGAGGGAAAACACCTTTTTCAACAAGACGTCGGAGCAGTTGGATGAGTTCTTAGACAGAGGACGGACGGTCCTCGGCGATCTGGGTCAACAGAGGGAAATGCTCAAAGGGACACAGAGGCGGCTATATACTGTCGCGAATACCTTGGGTATTAGTGGCGACACGATACGCATGGTTGAAAGGAGAGCGAAACAAGACAAGTGGATATTTTGGGGTGGAGTCGTCGTCTTCTTCCTGTTCTGCTGGCTGGTTATTCACTACTTGAGGTGATGGCATAGCTACACCAATTGGATCGTGGACAGGACGGTTTCCTAGACATTCAGGGGACATCATTTGAATTAGCGAGGCGCATGGAGCATAGTGTATATTCAGAGGAGAATGGGTGTGATGTTTCGCGCAGCATGATGATATAGCAGTAAGTTTGTAATAGACCTCATGCTACTTCGAGGCCAACTAATCGTTACAGGTACGGATTAGTAAATCTGATACGATTCGGCAAGAAAACAATCAAGCATGTGTACACAGTTCGGCCATATCATTGAATCGCTCGTCAAAGTCCATTTCCCCTGCCAACTATGGTTACTCGAGCTTCACTACAAGTCCTCGAGCTTCCGGCCAATATGATTGAGCTTCGAGTATATTCTTTCCTGCTGATACTGCAGCCTTCCGACATCATCAAAATATCCATTCCGCTGGATTCATGGGTATGCATTTCGAGGATGGTGTTGACGATATCGATGCCGATGACGACGGCCAACAGATAGCCATCTGTCTCTTGGGTCTTCGAGCCTCGGTGGCATTATCCCACCTTGATAACCGAAGAACGGATAGTGCTGCCGTTTCATCATCAGCGCAGCGCATGGGTCGTAGCATGCTGGCTGCCGCCTCATCTCGTATGATCGGCCGACAGCACCTGAGAAACAGCGTAACAGCTGCTCCAGGACTCGCTCGGATACCAAGCCTTCCAATGCACTGAGGCCCATGTACCACTCCCTCCGCATTCCAGGCTGCTCATCGTACACGACTTCGTGTAGGTGACCTTGCAGGACACCCACCATGGACGCGGCCAATGCCTGCGATCGAGTGGCCTGAGCGACTACGCAAAATATAAGAAACCGGTGCCTGCTGCGACGAAGGTCCGAGGTTTCCATGACGCCCAAGTCTTTCCGGAGACAGTCCTTCATATGCTCATCTAGGCGTGTTCCGGTCGAAGCGGCGAAATTGGACTTCGGTGCAAGGTATCCAATGAACTCCCCAAGAGCTGTGACGATAGTGTCGGATGTGACGGGGTACTGCAGTTTCTTGGAGAAAGTCTCCGCCATCTGTGATATCAGGCGCCGGCTGTCGAATGTTCTGGCAAATCCCAGGTTGCGAGCGACATCTGGAAGCCACTTTTGCAATCCGCTCAGACTGGGGTGGAGAACTACATCGGCAGCGAGTCTTATCGTCACAGTATCCCACATGGACCAACAATTGTTTTTCGGAAAGAACGCAATCTTGCGCGAACGATGTCGATGTTGTATTGGGAGGAAAGGGTGGTGGTACAGAAGGCCGAAAAGATTTCGCTCGACAGGCCGCTGGCATCATTATATGCTCAACGGTGTTGACCACTAGGTCTACCGTCAGCCCTCCCGATCGATCGACAAACAGACGAATACGTTGAACAGTCGCACAAGTTTGCTTCGACAACGCGCGTGGCCGCCTCATACGATTCTAGCCAATTACTACTCACGCTATGGTTTGACTTAGCTCAGTACCACCGCCTCAGGACAGTACGGATCGACGTACGCGTTTTTGTGCACGCATTGACGAAAAGCAGGTCCCATCTGTAAAATGGGAAGCAACATCCAACGCACGGTACATCATTTGATAAGATTCTGGAATACGCGATCCATTTTTCCCTCGGAATCTGGCTTACAGACCGCTGTGAGAATGGCGGGATATGCTTGAGATGCCAGGCAAGGCTCTCATCTTACTATCTGAAAGCTACGTAATTTGGGAAACAGGCCGTAAATGCAACGCCTCGCTAGAGCACCCCAAGACACATTCATATCTCGAAACACGACGGGTGTAGAGCCTGCCCGCCAAAAGCCCTTTCCATACTCCATCTCAGTTTCGCTACACTTCTTGGATGAGCCCAACTCTCGCGTATGGTACAGATTGGGTCGTCAATGTCGACAGCCGAACGTTCGCCATTCCGTCAATCCAATCTTCCCTCATACGGGCTATCACAGAATGACAGATCAATGCAACTTCTGGTCGAAACCAGAGAAGCGTTACTCTTGCTCAATAATATCCATACCCAAACTCACCAAGTAGAACATCCAGTTTCCCGTCAACACTGTCCAACTTCATGCCCATCTCGCTTTGCTGCCACTGGAGGTTCTGAGGCTCGTCGAAGTAATCGCCTCCCGGATATCCGACGGGCGACATCATCGGGGAGGCCCAACCAGAGCTTGGGTACGTTGGGATGGCGAGGCTCATATCTGGGCTGTGGCGACGTCGTATGGCAGGCAGTGACCGCGCCCTGTGGCCGGGCCATGGCAAGGCTCGGGGAGACCGACCACGGTGAAAGCCAGCGTATGGCATGATGGCGAAGGGCTCCAGATCCATCGTCCTAGTCCCTTCCATGACCTCTCGAATCTTTTCCGCAGCTTTATGCCAGTCCCTGAGGTGTTTCGGTATTTCCTTCTGTATCTGTCGCATGCCCTCGATGCCGAATTGCGCGAGCGTTTCAGCCAGCAGATCAGACTCGTATGCCGACGCCAGATACGCTAAGATGATGAAAGTGTGGCGTGAGTCTCGGAGACCGTCGGTGTGCCAGCGACTCTTGGCGCCCGTCCGCAACTGGGCCAACAGGACTTGAAGTACGCACGTTTGCGTTTGTTCTTCGTCAAGACCTCGGTATCGTGCAAGTTCGTTGAGGAAATCGTACAGCGTCTTGGTAATCTGGTGATTCGTTATGCCATAACGAGTTTGGATGCGAGATTGGAGATTGTATACGAGGCCATTTCCATCGATCTTGCGCCAGTGTGCCACCTGAGGGAACCAAGCAGATATAATTTCGTTATTTATTTGGATTTGGTAGCGTCCGCTGAAAATGATCCTCATGGTTTCGAACACTTGGATCTGGGGAAAGCTGGATGAGTGGCACTTAGATAATGCTATCGACTTGACGAAGGGGCTTTGATTGTTGGCTGTTGACTGCTGGCCGAGAAAGAAGTTGACACCCCTAGCCACAGTACCTGACACAGAAGCCAGTCTCTATATACGCATAAAGTACCGGTGAGAGCGTCATTGCCTCGCATGCCGGGTGACCGAGCTTACGGACCTTGTTCACCCCTCGCGCCAAGATTGATGTGCCACAGAGATGTTTGCTTGCGATGACGACGAAAGCAACCACTAAGGCAGCACCAGCCCCTTTCCATT